GTCCTAATATATGGAGTCAATACTCTATAATATTCGGATATGTAACATTATACACACTACTATTGCTGATTTACTGTAAGAAATATACAGTACCATACTTAATTAAGCTTACATATACTTTTTGAAATAAAACTCATATAGTAGTGAGTATAAATCATTCAATTATTTCTTATTAATTTGTTGTATATTACATAATGGTACATATACTACGCTAGAAAAAGTGATAGTACAACCAAATATATAACTTCTTACAACATGATACACCAATAAAGGCTACAACATTGCTATGAATTAATTTAAGGTAAGTATTCATTGACGAACAATTCAATCCCTAAGAGTAGACAACATAAATTATTTTTCTTGTAAAATACCTCTTGGATGGAGTGGATCATTTTATCTACTCTTGGAGATTGATTTATGATTACTCTTATGAATCGCGTGGTTGAGAGTCTGTGCACTTAGGAGATAGAGAAGAAATACTCGGATGAATATGATCACTAGTAGTAAAAGTAGTCGTAGTAGTAGTACTACTACTATTTGCAGACCTAGTTATAGGCATGGAGTTGGACCTCTTCATCATCCAAGTAGATGCTTTTGATCGATGAAATCGACATCGAAACGAGCCTTGATGTGTTGTAGGAGAGCATAAGCATTGACCCCCTTTGTGGTTGATGGTTGTAACACTTTCTCCATCAACGCTCTTAGGAGAAGTTATAGGCATTTTATTTTTGAGAAATAATTGAAGGATATGTTATTTTGGTATGTGATACTCTCTTGTGTTGAACAAAATGGGCTTTTTGAAGTATGAAATATATGGCGTGGTAAAGGAGGTGGGGCGTATAGAAGGGGAGGCTTTATCTACGTGCAGATTCTAAGGTCATTATAGGTATTTCACATTCTAACCCTCAACTTGTATTTGCCACCACCAAAATCTTTAGATATTGCCAAATTAATTAAAGCGATTTATTCCACAATAAACATGGAGTATATTTTTTAACAATAATTGGATTTAAAATATTTTCCGTATGTTACTGAATAAATATACATATCAATTGGTTGTTGGTGTAGTGGTGATTGAGATTACACTTGACAAGAAGGATCTGTATTCGATCTCCCACAATAACAATAGGGAGGGGATTGGAATCTAACCACACAGAATAGAACCCCAAATCCGAATTAGCCCAAAAATATAAACCGGATGAAACACCAACAAAAATAAAATAAAATAAATACTAGGTATAAATTAATAGTATATTTTCTCCCTTTTCCTATCATTGAAACTTAAAAGTGAATGTAGCATCTAAGCTTAAACTCTAGGTTTTTATTTTTTTTTTTCTTTCTTTTTTTGATAGGATTTAAACTCTTGGTAATATTTTATGTACAATAGTAATTTTTTATAGGGTTTTGGTGCGTGGTAGATGTCTTTTTGAAAATATTTACAATTAGATATTTTGAAGAATGAAATTTGATTGTAAGTATGTAACTGTTGTATGACTTAATTTTAAAAGTAAAAAAAATTCTCTTGTAGGAATTAAAATGAAGTATTTTGATCTTTAATTTCTCAGGGTAACAAGACTAGCAACAATGATGTGTGTTATCATTAAAATTTATGTGTCATCACTACTACTCAATTATACCTTATGAGTCTTATAATATTTAAATTGTTACGAGGTCATTGTCGTTAAGACGTTAACCCATAAAGAAGAAATTATAGAGCAAAAGGCATAATTTATTCAATTATTATTCAAGTATAGATCAATAATAGCCTTAGTAAAGCTAACAAATTAAATCTTATTAACAAACATGAATTGGAATTATCCTTCTAATTATTCATGTATGTGCATATGACATGTTCCGACACTATCGTATGGGTATCAATTAGCATTTTGTTGTTAGATTTGATCGAAGAATATTCTTCTGAACATTAATCAGAGGTCTTAATTTTAATCCTTTTTTATTTTCATTCATTTTAATACATACATTATTACATATTTCACAAATTTAGCTTGTTTTCTTGTACCAAATTTTTGTAACAAGATAATAGAATAAATTTAGAAAGCATATACGTAATTGTATAATTGAGAAAAAAGCCAAAAAGAATATAAGAGAGTGACAAAACGACGTGAGTGGTAAGAAGAAGAGATTAGATGAGGCTTTCATGTGAGAACCATATTATCATGTGTTTTTTTCGTTAATTTGATTCTTCAATTTATGTGAATAATATAATTTAGTAAGTAAATTCCAATATTATTCCAAAAAATAGGAGCCCTTCGATTCCACCATGTTTAATCCACGTTATTATGATTGTAAGTTTCCTTAAGTTTAGTATTTTAGTATCGAAATGACCAAGACATTATGTAAAAGGAATATGCAAAAAAAAAAAAAAAATGAGCATCTTTGTCATTTTAGATGTCTATGAAGTATCAAGTCAGTCACTGATTCATCTTGTTTGGTGGAGCTACTTTGCCTAATGTTTGATAAGAACTTTGTAGGCTATGTTCTCCGCAACTTATTCAAATAAGTCTCATAAATTAAAATAAGTCTCATAAATTAAGATTTATTGATTTAAGGCATAAATAAACTTCTATTTTAAAGTTTAGAAATTACGTTTATTTAGTAAACACAAGTTGAACTCAACAAAAACAACTTGATTAAGATAGTAAAAAATGAGGTTGCATTAAGATCTTATTTTATTCACCTTATTTTTATTTATTTTAGTTCAAATACGATAAGATCTTCTAAAGGTTACTCAATCTCAAATTACAACCAAATAATGCTATCCAAGTCAACAGTTGACTATATATGCAAAGCAAGTGTTTATGCGTATCAGCGTATGTTATACCATTTTATCAGGAGTACAAGTAGCTATTTATTTAGGATCTTAAATTGGAATCCATCATATATGTAAATGATTGATCATTAATCTTCACAAAATTAAATAAATGAAAATTCTAATGTAGCCTTGTGACTTTTGACTACTATAATTTTTTAAAATAGACGAAAAAATTTCGAAAATATTTTAAAAAATAATTTATGAAAGTTAAAAATATATTTAAAATAATTATAAAAAAAAAAACTATTTTTCATTAAAATAAAAAACAAATCAAAAAAACAAATGATCTCAATTGTCCATTTTAAAAAATTCTGATAGTCAAAAATCATAAGAATACATTAAAATCAAATCCGGTCCTGCCGTTAGACCCAACTCCCAATAAATGGTGAGAATTCAAATGCATCATGCATGGCAGGGAAGCATGGGGGCTTACGACTTATCTTCAGTGCAGCAGCCATTCAAGCAACTGCTACTACGGAGTAGTGTACAATTTTATGGCAAACTGCCACTTTAAAGACGTTCACCATCAAATTCTTTTCAGTTAGTCGGTTATTGCATGTTACTAATCGATATGTATCCACCAATCTTATTGCACTCATTTCAAGCCCCTTACTACTCATTACAAGATGGTAAAGCTTGTTTGTTAATTTGGTATGAATGCGGTCCAACAAATATACGGTGTATATTCTTCAATGATTGTTCACATTACTAACAATATTTGCCTACTCTTTTATCTATCAAATTGATGGTTCCATATTTAACTTAAAATATTAATTTAGGGTTCGTTTGACATCGTTGTGGTGGTTTTTTGTTTTCCAAATTCTATGATATACTTCGTATGTAATATAATGAATCTAAAATTAATCAAATTTATTATGATCATGATAATTTTGAAAACTTGCAACAGAAAAGTGGAAACACTTTTTTCTTATTTTCTGTTTTTGGTTTTAACAAAACTGAAAATTGAAAACAAAAAACGGTGTCAAATTATACGTAGCCCTTATATATAAGCATTAAATATACTCTTGAAAACTGTATAAAATTAGGAATTCATGACAAAAACACGCGTAAATCAGTGTTATTAGTGTCTATATTTTAATGATTACTTAACTTTTTATGATTTTCAAGTGTAAATTTAATGCTTATATATAGCCCTAAGGGCTATGTATAACATTTTCCTTTATTTATTTTTCTAGTAAAATGAGAAATAAAATCAAAAATAGGATTTTTTACAACAAAAATTTCTAATGATGCAATGGGAAGTTTATTTATTTTTGGTTGTGTTTGAATTGAATTTGATGGCAGAATGTGAGGTATCCTCTTCACTCCATGACTGTAAATTTGTATTGGATTGAGCTATGAAGATAGGGCCCTTTATTTCCTTTTAAATGAGATTATAATAAAAGCCCATGGGCCCAAATGCCCAATCAAAAGTCATATTCATAATCCACACAGAAATTGTGTATTTGAGTAACAACATGAATTATTTCTTGGGATTTTGTTTCAAGTGTTTATATATGGTGTAATTAGGGTTTGTTCTCTTCAACTTATTTTTAGTACAGTTCAGTTGCAATTTTCTTCTCTCATAAAATATTTAGTTTAGTTTAGTTCAGTTCAGTTTAGTAAATCAAAACAGTTCTTTAGCCAGTTAGCTAGATTCTTATTATTTGTTTAGATAAAATGATTGCTTACTTATTACATACGGAGTATAAAAGAATTAAATATAGTTTTGATCTAATATGGAGTATAATTTTTTTTGAAGTCGTAACTAAGATTTATATTATGTTTATTTTAGATGTCCTCATGTCCACTATACATTCATACGCACCAATGCACCATACATATAACATATATAACCACAATGATTTATCATTCATCTACCTCCGTTAACTATTATTTGCAACAAAGTGGTATTATTTATAAGATATAAATATTTCTTTGTTGCAAATAATATTTGTTTCGAATTATTTTAAAAATAAGCGTCGGAAGTATGCCATGTACAATAAGCCGGGTGTACAAGAAAATTGTCATTTTTTGTGAATAATCCAAAAGCAATACTATTGATTTATTGAATAACAACTTTAATCCTTAAGGAAGAAGAATGGGTGGAGTGTCATCAAAGGGAGAAGTATAACACGGGAACCAAATTGCCATTAATACTTGAAAAAGAAATACCAACAAAATTATCTAACAAAAAGTGCTAATACTGACCAAACTACTAGTCAAACCTAAGAGTCTTAATTTCTCCTCTGTTCTTCCTTATTACCTTTTTAATATTATCATTTTAATAATTGTATCTAACAAAGTTTTTTCGTTTCTTCAATTTTCTAAAATATTTGGACTTGATCAACATGGCAACTAAGAACGTTCAAGCCAAGCTGGTAGGTATGTCTTCCCTTATGTTAAATTTAAAAATTTACCATAACACAATTAATTCATATATATTTTTTTTAATTGAGTTCTTTAATTTGCTAAAATAATGATAAGTTTATTATAATCCATCATTTAGAACATAACATAGTCTTGCATTAGTTTTTCTCCCCACTATTATTACAAGATTTCAAGTTTACATTATTCGTTACATTCAGGTTAAGATTAAAATCGATTTTCATTAATCGTATGAAGTTATCGATTATTACAATTATAGTTTTAAACTTGTTGTATTTGTAACAAAATGAACATGGCCTAAGTTACCCATGTTTTGCTATTGTTTGTATATTGTTGCATCTTCTAATAATGTCACATGAAGTTTGTTTCTTAGGAAAATACTCAATTTTGTTGGTTATCTTGTATGTAGGTGCTTCTTGGGGATATGGGAACAGGGAAAACAAGCTTAGTTTTGAGATTTGTAAAGGGCCAATTCTTCGATTGTCAGGTTACCATCTTTTAACAACTTCATACACTAGATATCGAAAAGTAATCTTTTTTGTATTATTTGTCTGATTGCATAACCTGCAGGAATCAACAATTGGAGCAGCATTTTTCACTGAGGTGTTGTCCTTAGATGAGGCAATTGTAAAACTTGATATATGGGATACTGCAGGACAAGAACGATACCAAAGCTTAGCTCCTATGTACTACCGCGGTGCAGCTGCAGCTGTCGTGCTCTATGACATTACTAGCATGGTAACTGTATGACATAGTAGGAGGATAGTGGATAACTCCATCCTTCACACCTAACACAACCTTAAAGAATGACAATTTCATTTACTTAAACTTTGGTGATTATATCAGTTAAGAACAAATCTGACGGTATGAAACCTGGTTGTTGATGCAGGAATCATTTGAGAAAGCGAAAAGATGGATTGAGGAATTGCAGAGACAAGGTAACAGCTATGTCATTATTGCATTCCCCCTTGTTTTAATATAGCATGAATAAGATTACAAAGATTGCATCAAAAGTTCAAACATCATCCCACTCCCTCAGAAGCTTGAAACTGATACTGTATTAGGTTTTTATGCTAACAATCAATTCGCTTTTCCTCTTAACCAGCAAGTCCTCGCATGTTCACTGCATTGGTTGGCAATAAGGCAGACCTTGATGAGAAGAGGGAGGTAGACAACGAGGTATGCTGAAATTAATCATCAGTTGCCTTATCTACTGGATTGATTTATCATCATTACTCAATAATACTCTTATCAAGTTATCATAGAACCAACTCTAGGTCAAATAGCCTCAGTGAAATTAATGCAATTGTTTGGAATAATATGTTCTGTTAATCAGTTGCAACAATGCCTGGATTGCTAGTATTAAATCAGTGGTTCTTTTCTCGAGCCTCGTGCAAGACGACTAGACGAGTCATAGTTATGTATTGCTTACATGTCTCTTAAGAGGACTGTACTGCAGTTGCAGTAAGATTAAGACATTACCAAATACGGAGTACATCTCTATTGCAGGAAAATGTTAATGAGACTGATAAATGTTGCAGGTAGCTGAGGAATATGCAAAACAAAATGGGTTGCATTTCTTTGAAACTTCTGCTAAAACTGCACAGAATGTCAATGAGCTCTTTTATGAAATAGGTTCATATCTTCTTCCTTTCCTATCCTTTCAAATCATTATTTATAAGACACAAATAGCTATGAGAACAGCGAGTAAAAAAAGAGCACCAAAAGAACGACGATCTAAGAGCTTCATTATCTTATATGTTTATGAAGAGATAAATTCTGGTTTTACAGCAACGACATTGGCAAGAACTTGTCCCTCACGTTCAAGTGGAATGAAAATTCAAATCAGACAAAGTCGACGAGGAATGTATTGTTGCTTCAGTTAATACAATGCTGATGAAGTACCTGATGTTCACTGTATGTACTGAGTCCCCTAATAAATTTTATATTTATCATCAAATATTTTGATGTCACAGTCACAGTATGACCTTAAATACACATTATGGCTAGTTGTATATCCTTGATTCCTTGAACATGAAAAAAGAAATGCTTATTACTCCCATTACATATCTGAAAATAGTAACTAATAAAATCTTGATTTTTTTTAAGGTTATTATCAAAAGACAGAAGCTGAAACAGGGAAGTCAATGCAGAAACCTGGTGTGAAGAACAGAGCACTACCTTAACAGATATTTGTATTATGTGCATTGTGTGTTCTAAAGTCTTGTTCTCTTGCAAGCTACACTTGTCTATAAACTTTTCCTAAGCTATTCTATGAAAGCAACTTCAATCCTAGAGTAACCAAAAATTTAGATCTTCAACTAAATCCATTTCTAAATCACTATTGTTGTCACATTATTTGAAAGTACATATACTAGTATATATTTGTCATGCCAAAATTGACATTATCAACAACGGCTAGATAAAAATAAAGCAAGCAGGACTACAAGTTCCCATCAGCTCGGTAATATTTGAACAAACTAGTGGGGTGTAAACTATTCAACCAAAAAATTACTTAACAATTACTCCACAGTCCATACTAGAATTACTACCTCCGTTAACTATTATTTGCAACAAAAGGATATTATTTGTGAGATATAAAATATATCATTGTTGCAAATAATAGTTAACGGCGGTAGTACTACAAACTAGTACAATTATCTACACATAATGCTAAATTTTGTGGCTAAGAGAATCTGAAACTTCTTTCTTGGGCTCAATGCATTATGTTTGTCCATGTCCAATATATACAAAAATACAAAATGCATTGTCATGCTTCCATGCCCTAGGAATCACCATACAATTAGCAACCCCATAAAAAAATCAAAGATAATTTTTTATTTTTGTCATCCTCTTTTCTTTAATTTATTTTTTTAATGTGAATTTTCCAAAGAACCACTTGCTCCTCACGTGCAAGCTTCACAATCCCAAAACAAAATAAGCCAAAAATAAATTAAAAATGGAAAAAGAAGAGAACTTGTTTCTTAGTGATAGAATCTTTAAGCAGAGATAAAATTCTCTTTCAAAAAACATAAAGACAAGTAAAAAAGAATGTATACATACAAAAACAAACATACTGTATAGATATAGTATGTTTCTGCTAAGACTTACATAAAATAATTAAATCTATTTAACAAAACTATTTTCCTAAACAACAAAAGACCTTAAGACAGATAAAATAGGGCAAAAGAGCTAAAGTTAGGTGAAAGGGAGGCATGGGTTCACGTGCCTTTTTCCACGCCTATTGCCATAAAAAGCACAACTCCTACCACAAATTTACTGCCATAAATTTACTGCATTACAGTACTAGTCTACTACTAACATCAACCAAGAAAAGGTAAATAAAAAGGGGAAGAAAATTCACCCCTAAACTAGAGGAACAATTACTAGGAAATTTCATTTTTTTTCACCTTAAAACATGAAATATTCTAATAGAATAATCTTGCAACCTCTAATTTTTACCTAATTTGGGATGAAAACATTAAAATTTACCAAGAAGGTGAAGTGCGAGGTGAATCTGAAGAAGAAGATGAACGACCAATATGACTGTTTGATTCACTAGCAGAAGGACCCAAAGACCTTGCATCCCTTAAAGAAACAGAGGCAGCTTTAGCAGGAAGCTCCTTCATTGGACTCAATGGCAATGAAGATGGACTTGATGAAGTTCCAAGATTTTCATCATCCCTCTCTTCCTCATCATCCCCGGACGACCCGCTTCGGTCCAACTGAGACGGGGAGCTGTCCGGGGTCTCAAATGGGGTTGCCACTCGGCTCGGCCGGGCAACTTCATTGTCATAGATAGGATTTGAAATGTACATGAAATTCTTTTCCTTCCCATCTTCAGGTACAATTTCAGGGTTTTCATCAGACTGTTGGTGAGGTGTTATAACTGGGATGAAAGAAGGTGAGGGTGAATGTGATAATGTAGAAGCAAGGCCAATTTGTTGAGGGGATTGAACTCTAAGAAACTGATGAAGTTTCCCATGTTTTGGCCTCTCAATATCATCACTTTCAGCTCGGTTTTCTCTCTTACTAGGGAGTTTGGGAAAGAGGAAGCTTCTAGGAGCATCTAGAACTCCTTGAGCATAGAAGCTACTAAGAGGAGAAGGGACTAACTGCTCCAGTGGCTGTTGAGGCTGAGAGGCGGGGTTTTCGGGGTTCGAATCGGGTTTTCCGGCTTTAATCTTTCGTCGCCGGAGAAAAAGAGAGCAATAAAGCTCAGCTAGGAGTATCAACACTAAGAGTAGCACAATGGCAAGGACAATTACAATTGCCATTGTTGCTCCCATTATCACTTTGGAAGACCCTTTCATCTCTCTCACTTTCTAGAGTACCGTTGTAAAAATGACTGAATGATAGAAAAAAGATTAGTAGAAAGAAAGAGTAACAAAAGGAGGGTTTTCATGAGATACCTTGTTTTTTTTGGCGGGAAAGAGTACTAAGCATATGGCAGGTAAAAGGACTGTGACTTTGGAAGACGAGTCATATAGAAGGACTCATAGGCCATTATTGTAGGCCTAAATGGCCTAAAGACAATGGAGGGTATAATGGTCATTTACTATCTGCAAGATGCTTCGGTAAACCTTTGTTCTGAAACTAAACAAAACATACCTTAATTTGACCAAACTGAACACAGCTGTAGTATAAGTGTCGCGATGTAACACTGATCTACATGTGAGTATAGTGCACAAGTGCACACTAATACAAACTAAAACTGCAAAGTACAGAGCAATTAGCTACTTTATTAAACTAAATTACATACAGTATAATGATGTGAACTAATGTAATTGGATAGTATAATCTTAATCTGGGTCATTAGAGTTTTTTTTTTTTTTTTCAATATAATTGCGTGCAAAATTGCAAATGATAATATCAATTTTACAGGCTAAATAGTATAGTGATCGTGTAGTCAACAATGTCTTACTCTTGAATGCTCTCTATCATACAATGAATCAATGATACCGCAAATCTCAGGAAACCAAATGCACCATGATTCTCCATCCAATTTCTTTGCACATTTCTTGACCTCGATTATTCAACATAGACATCCTAAAATCTCTCGTAGCAGGAATGCTTAGTGAATGCAAGAAGCAGGTAGTATAGTAGTCAAGAGATGATTTGAGACTGTTACCAAAATGTTTAAGCTGTCAGCCTTTACATGCTCTCAAGGCAGCAAATCTTGCAGCTAAGTCATCGTAATCAGGAAGGTTTGGGTGCACATGCTTTGCCGGGATCTCTGGTTGAAAGGAAGCAGCACGAGAAAACACCTTCTGTTGCTCAGGCTGGGGTGCTTGGCGAGGAGGAAAAGACATTGACCTAGATGTCCCTCTCTTTGGTGTTAAATCCTCCTCATCCAAGTTACTACCAACTTTGGCTCTATGAGCTGGAGGCTTTTTCACATCACTTGTTCGTTTTTTAGTCTCCCTCCTTGGCTTTCCAGGATCACTGGAAGAAGGTTTCTTGCTGTAGTGTAGCAACAGCTGGTCAATCATTCTCTCCTCATCATCCTTTTGGTAATTGTCATCATCAAACACTATCTGGAGACCTTTTCTTGATTCATGTTTTCTCCTACTGGTGGACACTCTCCGGAGAACCCTTTCTTCCTTTTCCCCCTCACCATTCACTTTACCATCTTGGGAAGACCCAGAACGAGAATGTTTCTTCCGATGTCTTCGTCTAGGAGTTGATTCAACACCGCTGCTTTCATCTTTGTAATAAACTTCCGTGACACGTCCCATTCCATCCAAATTTTCTTGGGCATCAGGAATATCAGGTTTGGTGGGGGCTTTTCTGGCCTGCCAGTTGGATAAAAGGTTAAAGTGTCATTCTCTTCTGGATCAACTTTGTGTTTGCTCTTTCTTGGTTTGACATATGGAGGAGGAACTCCACCCCTGAATTTCAAAGGCAATCCATCTGTTTCACCCTCTTCTTTCTTTCTTGTGGATCTTACATGATTCTTTTCAGTTGGTTCATCATTAATGGAAGATGGGGAGCTTATTCCATTATTGGCTGGCCGTTGATCAGGTTTTTGTTGCGACAAGACTTTTAAAAGATCTTCTTCTGGCTCATCATCCTGCCTACGTCTATCCAGCTTGTGGCTATGAACAGTTTCCAATCTTTTTCCATGAGATGAGTTACCGACCTGAATGGCTTCTTTAACACTATTATCCGCATATACATGTCTATCAGCCTTCTGTCTTTTTCTTTGAAGATAAGTGTCATGATCCTCGCTTTTCTGGATAATGCCGTCCCTATTAGAAGGTGGCTTGTACCTGTTGTTAATGAGTTTCGGTGCTTTAGAAACATTATACTTCAACTCATCTTTTCTTTCTGGTATAAGATCTCTCCTGGCTTCCATTTGATGTCTGCCCTCAGTTTGTCTTTCTTTAATAGGATGACTGGCTTCACTCTTTTTCTTCGTTAGAACTTCTTCTTTGACAGTCCTATGGGTAGCTTCTACTTTGACCTGAGCAGCCTGGATAGTCTCAGGAATTTTTTGGTGCTTCTGCAGATAATAAAATCACATAGAAACGGTTACGAAATAAAAAGAAAGGTGTTGCTTTTTAAGCAGCCAATTTTCTTGAAGTTCTAATTGTCCTTACAACCTCATAGAAAATTTCGAAAGGAAAAGAGAAACAGATATCTCAGTTGAAATGAACCTTGAGAAGACAAAGAATTACCTGCTCAGTAATGGAAGAACTAGCCATCCTTGCTTCAAAGCCCTTACTGTCCCACCTCAATGAAAATTCAGATGCTATTTCTTCCAATAATTTGATGTTTTTCTCCATAGAAGGCGGTTTCGGAGTTATATTCTCAACAAGCTGCAGCATGTAAACATAATTATTAGCTGCAAAATCTAAGAAAGAAATCTGCACACCTTCTGATTCAATCTGATTCGTGAATATATACCTTTTGGTTTACATAATACTCCACAGAGTTTCCATATCTTCCCTGGAACAAGTCTCTAAGTTCACGAAGCTCAGGTAAATCCGAAAATCTGGCAGCAGCAAACATCAAGGATGCTACAGCCTCTCTACAATCTTCTGGGCAGTCCCTGTTATAGGCAAAGATTTTGCAACAATAAGTGTGCTGAAATGGTCTATAGTGCAGATGAAATTCTGCAAATAGATATTGTATCACAAAGAAGGGAGCCTAGGCTACAATGATTTCTTATTGTCTATGATTGAACAAAGGGAAGAATTTTATCGAGGTACTTTCACTTAGTTCTGAGTGCACCGATCAGTTGTATCCTTTAGCATTAGAACAATATAAATATTCTCCATTATAAATATCCAAATAACAAGCCTAAACACCTAGCACAGTGATTTTAAATACCCAGCTCAGTGATTTTAAACAATTACTGACTTGGCATGTTGTAAATTCTACACTATCATTCAGGAATGCATGCATTATTTAATTATTTTGCGTAGTGAGGAAATGAAAGAGCTCAAAGTTTCTGTTATGATTTTATGCTGTGACCAAACATTACCAAACAAGGAATAGGAAGTTCATCACCACAGCAGCTAAGATAAAAAAGATGTATATCAGTTTGCGCAACCAACTGAGCTACATACAGACACAGCATAGCACGCGAAGACCAAAGTGGAGAAATTTAAGTTCCAACACATTATATTTCTGATAAAGCATAACAAAAGCATAAGAGCAAGGAGAGTTCAATATGTACCTTAGTTTTTGCAGAACTGGAAGGTGCTTCAAAATAATTTCACAAACATGATCAATAAATTCATAACATGAAATAAGAATCAGCTCCGAAATCAAGCCATCTGCCTGTTATCATAAGAAATAAAATAAAAGATGTCAAATTCATACAAGTATACACACATATTAGATGAAAGCCAGACATCTTGAATAACAGGAACAGCCAATGATATGCGCCACATTAATGAATCAAGGTGATAGTAATACTATAATGCAGTGCACGGTCAAGGTGAAACTGCAGTGATCTTTACTAAAATGTCGAACATTTTTAAACTATTTGGAGCTAATAAAACATCATATTTCCGCACATTAAAAACGCAAACAACTTCCAGATATGCCAAGTGCAACATCAAGTACCTAGAATAATAATCTATGTTACACAAAACGTCAAAATTACACAACCAGTGAGTCCAAGACCAGAATAATACATTTCATAGAATTATTCCTACATTTAGATTAATTTGTATTATTCAATAAGTCATGTCATATGCTATTTTCCGAGTGTCAAATAATTAACTATTGTTGGAACGAAGAGACAGAACAAGACATTTTTCATCAAAATTTATTTCTACCTCCATTATTCAACCAAAGTATAATTATATGAATATGTAGAGCAAAATTTCCTCATTAGAAGATAAGATTAATTTTAGACCTAAGTTACACCTCAAAATAGTGACAATCAAATTCTAATTCCAATGGATAAATTAATACCCAAATTCTTGCTAAAATCAAACAAATATGCTTTTCGGTCAAAATTAATCGACAAAATACATATATAAACAATATTCTGATGCACCGACATTTCTCATCATCAAAATAGGCAAATACTACGTATGACGGAAAAATTCAAATAAACATTATAAAAATTCAACAATCATCAAAAAAACGACACGACAAAAATAGAAATAAAAAATGAAATCGTTGAGCTAAAAAGCAAGAGGAAAAACAAACTCACTCTTCCATAAGCGTTCTTTTCGAGGCCATTAGCAAGCAGATCAGCAATGTCTTTCCTCAAAAACTTCTGCGTCGCAATTCGTTTTCGTCGCACAACTTCGATTCGAGTTCTCGTCTGCTTAATCAACGATTTACTGCAAATTCAATCCAAAAAAACTAATAATCAGTGAAATGAATCAAAATCCAGCAAAAACGAGTTAAATTAGGTTGAAAAAGAGAAAGATCTAGGTGAGAAAGAGATTGAACAACAAATCTAACAAACCATTTGGAGTAGAATCCACTTTTTCCGAGCAATCCGTCTAACATCGTTTTTCAGCTGGTTTCGATCGTTTTCTGGAAATGGAGAGAGAAAAGAGGAGAGAGAAATGGAAATGATGGAGTTAAAGAGAGAGAAGTGAATGAAGTTCGAAAATGGAAGCAATCCTACCAGCATCCACCACTGCTATAGAGAGAATACTCTTTTACTTTCTCTCTCTTCACTCACACTTTCTCTCTCTTGTTTTGTTTGGGTGGAAGAAAATGGACTAATTACGCTTTGAATTAATAGAAATTGTGTTTTACTGATTCGTGAGCTTATATTCATTTTGTGAGGTTTCCATAATTACCCTTGATGTTTATTCTTATGCATGCATCTGTCCTCTGTTGTTTGATGTTTTTTTAATCTTTGACAGAAAATGTATGGTCTATTGGAGTCAATTTTAATCCATAATAGACTTTTTTTAAAAAAAACAGCTCGAGTTTGGGTCATTATAAAAATTGTATTGTTTTTTATCTGAATAATAAGTTGGTTTTGAAGAACTTATTATAAGTACTTCGTATATGAATAGCTCGAGCTTGTTTATTAATGTTCATGAACAAATTATTTATATGAAATTATGAATAGCTCATAGCATGTTTAATAAATGAAATTAGCTTGTTCACGATAATTAAATACAATATATCATTTGGTTTGGGGATAGTAACCTTTCAAGAGTTTAACTCTTACAGATTAAGGACAACAAATATGTTTGAGCTAGTCTTGTTAGTTCAAAAGTCGGGGACTATAAGTCGGCAAAGTAGTTATGATGGAATTTTGAAAAGTTTATGACATGAATTTAGCACAAATAGTTGTATCACTATGTTGGAAAAGAAGTTTCGATGTGATATATTGTTTTGTAAAGAGAGCGGTTCAAAGGATAAATGATTAGTTTAATCATCTAAAGTTAGTTGATAGTCGATATGGTGTATACTTCATTGATCATTTTGTTACAACATTAACATGTGCACTCATTAAGACAATTACAATTATAAGCAAAATGAAATTAATGGAGAGAAAACCAATAAATCACATGGGTAGGGCAAAGTCAATGAGGGCAAAGTTGTCTATTCGTAATCCAAAACACAAAAATAAACCAATAAGGAAAATATAACGCTTTAAAAAGAGCAAAGTACGAAAAAAAAAATGTTGTTATTCCAAAAATCAAATTTTTATTGTGTTTTTATTGTTTTTCTTTTCTTTGTATTGTTCCTTGTATTTTAAAATATATTATGCACTTTCATCTTATATTAACTTAGTTAATTTATAGCTTAAAAATTGATGCTCAAGACATGAAATCAAATTAATTAGTTGGAAAACAAAACATTGGCACAACCAAGTTCAAGGTATCCCTTGCTAGGACCAAATCACTAGTCACTAATTCACTATGCATGTAGGTAGGTTTATACAAGGGTTTAGGAACACATTTTGTGAAACTATTATTTGAAATCTTCAACTAACACAATAATATTCAATTGGTTATATTTTCCTTAATGTTAGTTTCACTTGCACCCAACCCATTTCAAATTATTAGTGTTACAAATTAAGTGCTTAGTTAACTTACTCCACGAGTGGATATAGTTATAGCTATAGCTAGGGTATTCTCAATTAGACTTATTTTACTAACATATATAACATTTTAAATATATAATTATATAATATCCCATGAAACTAGATAAGAAAAAATATTAATCACATCGAATAAACAAAATATGACCATACATAAAAAAACTGAACAATACATATTTCTTGAGGAATATTTATCGATATAAAGTTGTACTTAGTAAGTATGATGGGGTCTTTCAAAAAAAAAAATAGTAAGGATGATGGGGCACAATGTGACATTAACACATAATTTAAAGGGGCAAAAAAGGGCAAAGTCCATTGAATAAAATTAGAGAAAAACTAGAAAGCTAGAAAAGGGTAGATTAGGAAAAAGAGGAAAGACAAGGCATGATGCGTTGTGTAAGGAGAAATATAATGCGGTGGATAAGATGATGGCCGTTGGATTAGGGAGCATAATTAAGATTAGTGGTTTGGGGAATAAAGCAATGGAGCGGGTGATGATGCATTTTGATGAGCCTTTGAAGAGAACCACAAAAGTGGATGTGTAATGTTTTTTGAGTTGGTCCGCAACAAATTAATATTGGTGGAGCTAATTTCTTGCTTTTTTATACGAGCCGTTATTTTGTCAGTAAAGCAGTTGGATCTATACTTTCCCATAATAATACTTGCTTTAACGGTATTCAACTGCCTCTACTTGGTCACTTGTGACTATGGTCACTGGTGAGGATTCACTTCTCTTTCCGTTTATTATAGATCGCCCCGTTTTCAAACCGTCTTGTAAATATTTTGTCCAACACTATTCTTGTTAACGTGTTACTCCTTACTTTATCTACAACCCTACCTGGAAAAAAGAGTGTCTAGTGTTACCCATATAACAAAATTTTTTATAAAGTGAGACAAACTTTATAGGAGGAAGTAGCAACAGAATAACGAGTAAAAAAAAAAGAATAGAAGAAAAACTTGTGTCCAACTTATGAACAATAGTTTATATAATCACATATACTCCGTACTATATACTACGAGTATGAAAAGAACATTAATAATATAAACGAGTTTGACAGATTACAGACTACGGTTAGGTAAATTGACAAAAGAGTTGCAACAAATGTAAACAGCATTAACAGCCTGATAATGACAACGTTGACTAAGGTATCATTATCCTTTACATTGCCTTACCATTTAATCTTTTGCTGTGATGAGACAAAACAAGAATCATAATCCTTGCAAATCTTTGAAATGTTATCAAATCAAAACTAAAATCCAAGCACATGTTAACACATTTTAGTAGCTTGTAATAGAATCGATCTAATTGCTTTGACTGAAGTCGAATCACAAGCTCTGGCTTGGAATTCTCGGCTGATTTGATTGGTTTAACTGAAGCATGAGCAGTTGTTGCCAATTTCACGAACAATTCCAAAGGCATTTTCTGTTTCAGCGAAGATACTCCAAGGAGCAAATTATGTCATTATATCGACACAATTACTCCATTACGAAGGTAGCACTGAGCTGATCAATAACTTTTTCTCATAAAATGAACATGTTCAATTTACATGAATGAATTATGTCCTCCATCAAGCGGCACTCTAGGCTTGAACAGTGCAGATATGATCAAAGACGGACAATGATTGAAACCAATGCTCTGAGAAAAGAATTGAACCATGTTAGCGATCAAATCTGGAAAATAAATGAAGACAACATCCCGTAGGACTATATGTAAGCCTATATAATGATGACTAACATCAAATTGTGGACATCAATAAAAAAAAATTAAAAAAAAAAAAAAAAAAAACCTCCAATTGGGATATTAATCCAAAAAAAAAAGATCAACTTACTGGAATGCTTAGCAGGAAGCCCTCTGTACTGATTATGACAGGTAAGCCTCTTCGAGCAGCAACGGGAATAGATTTCAAATTTCTTAGTGCTTGTTGAGCTGATGACCTTGCATGATTGGAATATAAGTTGGTCTTGTCAAGTACTTGATCCATTTCATTATTAACAATGGACTTCTGCTGTTTGAATTTGCAGGAATCTTGAGTGTTTGGGTTTGCCAACTTTGCAAGAAACAGCCAGTCTTCATCAATCATGTGACGGACATAAGCTAACACATCACCAGCCATGCACAAACTACAATTTTGATGGCTTATTTGATCACCATCTTCCAAGGAACTATAACACGAGTACATTTCATCATTTGACATCCAAGTCAGAAAGAACCTGCTCATAAAGTAACAGCTCTGTCCTGTTCGAAATGGTTCTTTTGTAGGTACCATATCTACTTCATTCTTTGGCTCACTACTAGATATAACTTCTGATTTAGACTTGAACAGTTGTGTTTCTTTCATCTGTAACTGTAAAATGGACTCATAGGTGGACTCGCTAAGAATATTGAGTCTTTTTGCTTCAGCCAGAACAGAGCTTGAAGACACAGGATCAAAAAAATGAATTTGTGAAGCATCCGGGGTTGATTGCTTCAACAAATATTTTTGATCTATGACTATTTGTCCCACATCATATGAAGAACATTGCATCTGCTCCTGGCCAGGATATGTGGAATATAACTCAGTTTTTGCGGGAAGAACAGAGTGGACGGAGCAACAGACAAGGACCTTGGTTCCTTTGGTGCCAGGAGCTGCACAGAGATAACAGCCAGCTGCTGTGAGAGAGGTCTGCAAAATTAGCAAGAGCCAAGACCATATTAATGTTAGTAGATATACATTATCAATATATGGTTAGTGACTTAGGTCTGTCATGAGAAAAAATCCAGTGAAAATGTTTCAATTTCATCAAGGAAAGCAACAGACTTAGGAGTTGTTTTCTATATTAAGCATAGAGGACAAGAAGAGGAAGCAGTGCAACATATATAAACTTGCCTCTATGATGGCTAAAGGAAGCTGTCAAAACATACAAAAAAATGGCAAATTCTAGCAGGAAGTAGAAGCTATTGAAAACATATGTACCTTGCAAGGAAAAGTTCGAATATAATCTAGCAGCAGCCTTGAAGCACTTCCACGTACTGGTCTATGCCTCTGCGAGATGAACTGGCATAGCAGGGGTAAAACATATGCTTTTATTAGTATCAAATTTCGCTAATGCAATCAATTCAAAAGACATCTGCACAAAAATAAGAAAGGAACGTGTTAATTTTGCAACTTTACAAACTTAATACCTGCAAAACCAGTGCCAGAAATCTAGACAGACAGACATCCTCTCTTTTGGATGGGTTTAAACTGCGTAGGTCAATAACAGCATAACCATGCTGCAACCACCAATATAAAGATAATTAACCAGTAGCACAATGCTACCAAAAACAAATTAAAAACATCTTCGAAAAAAGCAAGCAAGTAAGCTGGAGCCTGGAGGAGACCTTCAAAAGATCACAACAGAAAGTGCCAAAAAAAAAAAAAAAAAAAAAAAAAAGGTTTCTTTAAGGGGAATAAGGGTTCTATTCTTATAGATATAGTAACAGTCATCCAACAATAATCTATGTATCTGAAAGTGGATCACAACATTCTTTATTTTGCAGATTTAGATGATAGATTCCCATATCCATGTGACAGCAAGTATTAGCCAAATTGAAATCACATTTATAGGGAACATGTATCAACTATTTTTTACTGTCACCATAGCGATATATGAGGGGAACATGATGAAATTTTTTTGGGTAAAATATATTGCTTACAGGCATTATGGTCACAGCCTGATCCAACAGAACCTGACACATGTAATCAACATACAACCGTGTTCGCCTGCAAATGGAAATTAATCCTTGTAGTTCAGACCTGAATTCACCTGCAAAACCATTCTAGTCATTACCTTCTACAACCTGCGAATCTGCGATGGAGGTTGATATACATAAACCAATCCAACAGAAATATTGTAAATAACATATAGAAGAATCCAACTGATTTTCTGCAGAATCAGAGACAAGGAAAGGGAAGAAGTATGTGGATTAACAGTGAAAGAAATTAGAGATGTGACTCCCAGAAGAAAAATCCAACTTTGATGCAAATGCAGAAATGGTAAAGAGATATAAGATCAAGTAGTGAGGAGATAAGATCATGTCCATCAAACAGACATTGACCACATAACAAACTATATTTGATGGTATGTATGTCAAATAATTAACAACAACAAAATCAGCTTTTCATTCAGACATCCACAGCTTACAGGTTTTCATATCTTGTAATGCCATGCGGATCCTATTTCGAGCAAACAGTGAACTTCGATTTGAAGGATCCTCCACCCAGTTAAGATTGCTGGTATTACAAATCTGCAGTATAAGTACATACCTTATCCCTGAGAATTACTGAGACAGTAGGGAGGTGAAGACTAAGGTGAACCAGCAAACAGAATGTAAAATTTGCAACAAACTAATGGTCAAACTAAGCCAAAGTGCATAAAGCATAAGGAATCATATCTTGCACCCAAATATACAAGTTGTCATCTTGTTACTAACCTTGTATAGATCTTCTTTGGTAAATTCCATGAAGGGCCGTACCAATAGAATGCCTTGATTGTCAGGTATTTCACCAATAACACATGGGAATTTAGGGAATAATTGAGATGTAAATGCCATTCCTGCAAGTCCAAGCACTCCACTATTGCGAGATAGCCTCAAGATAAACAACTCAGCCTACAAAATTCCTTACTAGGTGGATTAAACATTTAAACATGTATTTAACTTTTGAAATATAGGGTTATAGCATTTGTGATATGAATTGATGCATCTGATCAGAAAAATCCTAAGTTGACAGTAAGGTGCTTATATGATTCCAGATCGAACAACATGGACTTTCATTTTTTACAAACAGGAGTTTGCACCTGATCATCTGCATGATGGGCAGTAAGTAGTACACCAATCTGGTTCTGGAAGCAAACATCTTGAAATATTTTATACCTACACATACAAAACAGAGCTAACCACTGAATTCGGAAAAATCCACTGCAAAAGCTGAAATTAATAAACTTAGAGAAACTATAACTACCTCATATCACGAGCCACTTCTTCCAAGTGCCCTACCTTTGGGAGACCATCAGGCCAATCACAATGCACAATCTCACATCTGATTCCTATAAATAGTCCACATGAGAAAGCAATGTGCCAAAGCATTTCAAACTCGAAACATCATAAACCCATGAAATTCCAGTAATATATCCCTTAAGAGGGAAGACTGATTAATACCCATATCAGAAACCCAACGAGAAACAGTCTTCGCCTCTTCTTTACTCTCGGACCTCAGTCCATGGTCAACAATAATAGCAAGTAAGCCATCGACAAAGCCAGAACTGTCAAGACAATCACCATTTGCACAAGTCTTCCAATTTGCCATCAGAGCACATAGAGCCATACTATCAGCACCACCAGAGACCCCCATAGCTTCATAAAGAGTATCAAAAAGGAATAAAATGTGAGCAGAAATGACAATAAACAATTGATTATCAACAAGAGCATTTCCTCTCCAATTTGTCTCTAATTCTTTCATACAGATTAGGAAAGTTCACCTGAAGGGTAGAAGATTTCAGAAACAAACGTTTACATTACATTCTTGTAAGTTGTAAGTAAAGATAAGAGAAAAGTAACATGAAGGTTAAGAGAATAGACTCTAAATACCCAAATAGAAGCAGAAGCAAACTCTTTGAAGGTCTTTAGATACTGCTCCAGTGCTCAATACTCTACTACTTGTTAAACTTCCCAATCTATCAACCACCCTTTTTGTATAACTTCTAAAGCTGACTTACATCTATAACTTCCTAAACCCGGCCAAAATGAGGATTTTTCATTGTTGTCTACTAAAACTATTTTGGTGTTGCAATAGCTAATTGGTCATAAATTGGAAATTGTTCTTAGCTACAAGGTCTTACGAATAGGTAATACTGCTCACGAGGTACTACGATAACACAGAAAAAACTTCGTTCTTGACTAAAAGGGCATACAAATGGGTAACATCACTAATGTGATGCTACAACAACATCGAATATGACTGGGTGAGAGTGTAAGACTGCGCGTGTGGTACTAGTGTACTACAAGAACATAGAAAATTTCCAATGTCTTAAGGTAATGAAATAAGAGGTCATGTAACACTCCCAACTTTTTTTTTACATGATTCAAGTCCACATTGTAAACAAAACAACACATGCATTACTTCTTACCATCTCCATTCAAATACTGAAAATAAACGCTTTTCCCTTTATTTTTAGTGATTAAACTACTTCAATTAGTAAGTCAGGGTAAAACAAGTGAGAAATTCAATCTCTCACTTTTTAAAACACTTCAATTTTTACCATATTTGTAAACATAATACAATCATATAAAATGGATTTCGTCAATGAAAGGGCAAATTAATCCCTAACTTAATTATACAACTAGTAGAAGAGTATCTAAAATCTTCCACTAAAATAAACAATCAACCGAAATTCGTAAAACCCACACAAATTAAGTATGAAATTTAACACAAGCATAAAATTTTAGTAACCCAACTAAAAATTAATGAAAAACTCGATAAAATTGAAGATGGGTGTAAACTCGATAAAATAAACAATCAGCCAAAATTCGTAAAACCCACAAAAATTAAGTATGAAATTTAACACAAAGCATACAATTTGAGTAACCCAAATAAAAATTAATGAAAAACTCAATAAAATTGAAGATGGGTGTAAACTAACCAATGCGATGGTGGGGTTTAAGGGCAGCCATTTGCATCCTTCTTGAGAAATTTTCAGTGTATTCTAATGGGAGTTGAGAGTTTATACTTTCGGAACATTTGCAGAAGAGTCTAGAAGAAGTGCGGCGGAAGAAGAAAGAAACGACGCCGTTTCTTATCTTATTTGGGTATAGTGTTGAAATTGAGGTTGCAATGACGGCGGAAGTAGCAGTGGTTCTGGTTTGAGGAGAGAGAAAAGGAATTATTCCTCGCGCCATTTTTGCTGTATTTCTGTTTCAGTGTTTTTGCGAGGGAGAAGAATAGAAGATGATGTTTCTCGTATATGGGTTAGAGCTTTGAAGCGATGTCGTTTTATCACATTCAATTTTTGTAGATTGCTTCTCTTGGCTTTATATATTGTGATTTGCAATTCTAGAGGAAAAACCTAGTCACCTAAGCTATCCCTAGGGGAGCTTATGACACAAGACTGCTCGCGAGCTATTCGAGTTCGACTCGGTTAAAACTCGACTCGAGTGAGGTCGATTTGATCTCGAGATCGACTCGAAATGTTAACGTGTCAAGTCGAGTTACTCATTACTCGACTCGAAAGCTCGTAAGAAGCTCGAAATCCTTCATATAATATAATATTTACAAAAAAAAAGTGAAAATATTTTGATAAAAAACTTAATTTTAGATTATTAATTAATAAATAAACATTATATATGTACTCTTATCATCATATATATACTTCTCAAATGAAAAAATTAAAGAGAATAAAGAGATGTTATAGTAAATAGAGAGTTTTACTAAAGACGTATTAAATTGCAAGCTAATCGAGATTGACTCGATTCGGTCAAATTCGGTCAAAGCTCGACTCGGTCAAAGCTCGGTCAAAACTCGACTCAATATGTTAATGAGTCGAGTCGAGCTACCCCAAACTCGAACTCGACTTGCATCATAAACACCCCTAGCTATCCCTCATTTTCACGAGTACAATAATATATATATATATATATATATATATATATATATATATATATATATATATATATATATATATATATATATATATATATATATATATGAGAGTGTGACACATATCAATGCTAAAAACTCTCGTATTTAGTCTAGAGATTTGTTCAAACGCTCACAATTTTTACGATTTGAGTTATGGTATGCTTTGCTTGGCTTGATCAGGTTTTGCTAGAATTTGAAACTGAATGGAATTTTGAATAGGTTTAAATCTAATTTGAAATTGAATGGAGTTTTAGTTAAGTTTTCGCTATGTTGCAAGCAATATAGTATTCACATTTTTAGATAGTTGAAATATTGATTATGTGTGTTGAGGGAGTATATATTTCATCAATAATTAATAAAAGGAAAAATTGCCCCCAATAATCCGACTTCGGCGGAAGAAGAAAGAAACGACGCCGTTTCTTATCTTATTTGGGTATAGTGTTGAAATTGAGGTTGCAATGACGGCGGAAGTAGCAGTGGTTCTGGTTTGAGGAGAGAGAAAAGGAATTATTCCTCGCGCCATTTTTGCTGTATTTCTGTTTCAGTGTTTTTGCGAGGGAGAAGAATAGAAGATGATGTTTCTCGTATATGGGTTAGAGCTTTGAAGCGATGTCGTTTTATCACATTCAATTTTTGTAGATTGCTTCTCTTGGCTTTATATATTGTGATTTGCAATTCTAGAGGAAAAACCTAGTCACCTAAGCTATCCCTAGGGGAGCTTATGACACAAGACTGCTCGCGAGCTATTCGAGTTCGACTCGGTTAAAACTCGACTCGAGTGAGGTCGATTTGATCTCGAGATCGACTCGAAATGTTAACGTGTCAAGTCGAGTTACTCATTACTCGACTCGAAAGCTCGTAAGAAGCTCGAAATCCTTCATATAATATAATATTTACAAAAAAAAAGTGAAAATATTTTGATAAAAAACTTAATTTTAGATTATTAATTAATAAATAAACATTATATATGTACTCTTATCATCATATATATACTTCTCAAATGAAAAAATTAAAGAGAATAAAGAGATGTTATAGTAAATAGAGAGTTTTACTAAAGACGTATTAAATTGCAAGCTAATCGAGATTGACTCGATTCGGTCAAATTCGGTCAAAGCTCGACTCGGTCAAAGCTCGGTCAAAACTCGACTCAATATGTTAATGAGTCGAGTCGAGCTACCCCAAACTCGAACTCGACTTGCATCATAAACACCCCTAGCTATCCCTCATTTTCACGAGTACAATAATATATATATATATATATATATATATATATATATATATATATATATATATATGAGAGTGTGACACATATCAATGCTAAAAACTCTCGTATTTAGTCTAGAGATTTGTTCAAACGCTCACAATTTTTACGATTTGAGTTATGGTATGCTTTGCTTGGCTTGATCAGGTTTTGCTAGAATTTGAAACTGAATGGAATTTTGAATAGGTTTAAATCTAATTTGAAATTGAATGGAGTTTTAGTTAAGTTTTCGCTATGTTGCAAGCAATATAGTATTCACATTTTTAGATAGTTGAAATATTGATTATGTGTGTTGAGGGAGTATATATTTCATCAATAATTAATAAAAGGAAAAATTGCCCCCAATAATCCGACTTCGGCGGAAGAAGAAAGAAACGACGCCGTTTCTTATCTTATTTGGGTATAGTGTTGAAATTGAGGTTGCAATGACGGCGGAAGTAGCAGTGGTTCTGGTTTGAAGAGAGAGAAAAGGAATTATTCCTCGCGCCATTTTTGCTGTATTTCTGTTTCAGTGTTTTTGCGAGGGAGAAGAATAGAAGATGATGTTTCTCGTATATGGGTTAGAGCTTTGAAGCGATGTCGTTTTATCACATTCAATTTTTGTAGATTGCTTCTCTTCTTTATATATTGTGATTTGCAATTCTAGAGGAAAAACCTAGTCACCTAAGCTATCCCTAGGGGAGCTTATGACACAAGACTGCTCGCGAGCTATTCGAGTTCGACTCGGTTAAAACTCGACTCGAGTGAGCTCTGATCTCGAGATCGACTCGAAATGTTAACGTGTCAAGTCGAGTTACTCATTACTCGACTCGAAAGCTCGTAAGAAGCTCGAAATCCTTCATATAATATAATATTTACAAAAAAAAAAGTGAAAATATTTTGATAAAAAACTTAATTTTAGATTATTAATTAATAAATAAACATTATATATGTACTCTTATCATCATATATATACTTCTCAAATGAAAAAATTAAAGAGAATAAAGAGATGTTATAGTAAATAAAGAGTTTTACTAAAGACGTATTAAATTGCAAGCTAATCGAGATTGACTCGATTCGGTCAAATTCGGTCAAAGCTCGACTCGGTCAAAGCTCGGTCAAAACTCAACTCGATATGTTAATGAGTCGAGTCGAGCTACCCCAAACTCGAACTCGACTTGCATCATAAACACCCCTAGTTATCCCTCACTTTCACGAGTACAATAATATATATATATATATATGTATATATTTATATATACATATATATATATACATATATATATATATACATATATATATATATATATATATATATATGAGAGTGTGACACATATCGATGCTAAAAACTCTCGTATTTAGTCTAGAGATTTGTTCAAACGCTCACAATTTTTATGATTTGAGTTATGGTATGCTTTGCTTGGCTTGATCAGGTTTTGCTAGAATTTGAAACTGAATGGAATTTTGAATAGGTTTAAATCTAATTTGAAATTGAATGGAGTTTTAGTTAAGTTTTCGCTATGTTGCAAGCAATATAGTATTCACATTTTTAGATAGTTGAAATATTGAATATGTGTGTTGAGGGAGTGTATATTTCATCAATAATTAATAAAAGGAAAAATTGCCCCCAATAATCCGACTTCGGCGGAAGAAGAAAGAAACGACGCCGTTTCTTATCTTATTTGGGTATAGTGTTGAAATTGAGGTTGCAATGACGGCGGAAGTAGCAGTGGTTCTGGTTTGAGGAGAGAGAAAAGGAATTATTCCTCGCGCCATTTTTGCTGTATTTCTGTTTCAGTGTTTTTGCGAGGGAGAAGAATAGAAGATGATGTTTCTCGTATATGGGTTAGAGCTTTGAAGCGATGTCGTTTTATCACATTCAATTTTTGTAGATTGCTTCTCTTGGCTTTATATATTGTGATTTGCAATTCTAGAGGAAAAACCTAGTCACCTAAGCTATCCCTAGGGGAGCTTATGACACAAGACTGCTCGCGAGCTATTCGAGTTCGACTCGGTTAAAACTCGACTCGAGTGAGGTCGATTTGATCTCGAGATCGACTCGAAATGTTAACGTGTCAAGTCGAGTTACTCATTACTCGACTCGAAAGCTCGTAAGAAGCTCGAAATCCTTCATATAATATAATATTTACAAAAAAAAAGTGAAAATATTTTGATAAAAAACTTAATTTTAGATTATTAATTAATAAATAAACATTATATATGTACTCTTATCATCATATATATACTTCTCAAATGAAAAAATTAAAGAGAATAAAGAGATGTTATAGTAAATAGAGAGTTTTACTAAAGACGTATTAAATTGCAAGCTAATCGAGATTGACTCGATTCGGTCAAATTCGGTCAAAGCTCGACTCGGTCAAAGCTCGGTCAAAACTCGACTCAATATGTTAATGAGTCGAGTCGAGCTACCCCAAACTCGAACTCGACTTGCATCATAAACACCCCTAGTTATCCCTCACTTTCACGAGTACAATAATATATATATATATGTATATATTTATATATACATATATATATATACATATATATATATACATATATATATATATATATATATATATATATATATATATATATATATATATATATATATATATATATATGAGAGTGTGACACATATCGATGCTAAAAACTCTCGTATTTAGTCTAGAGATTTGTTCAAACGCTCACAATTTTTATGATTTGAGTTATGGTATGCTTTGCTTGGCTTGATCAGGTTTTGCTAGAATTTGAAACTGAATGGAATTTTGAATAGGTTTAAATCTAATTTGAAATTGAATGGAGTTTTAGTTAAGTTTTCGCTATGTTGCAAGCAATATAGTATTCACATTTTTAGATAGTTGAAATATTGAATATGTGTGTTGAGGGAGTGTATATTTCATCAATAATTAATAAAAGGAAAAATTGCCCCCAATAATCCGACTTCGGCGGAAGAAGAAAGAAACGACGCCGTTTCTTATCTTATTTGGGTATAGTGTTGAAATTGAGGTTGCAATGACGGCGGAAGTAGCAGTGGTTCTGGTTTGAGGAGAGAGAAAAGGAATTATTCCTCGCGCCATTTTTGTTGTATTTCTGTTTCAGTGTTTTTGCGAGGGAGAAGAATAGAAGATGATGTTTCTCGTATATGGGTTAGAGCTTTGAAGCGATGTCGTTTTATCACATTCAATTTTTGTAGATTGCTTCTCTTGGCTTTATATATTGTGATTTGCAATTCTAGAGGAAAAACCTAGTCACCTAAGCTATCCCTAGGGGAGCTTATGACACAAGACTGCTCGCGAGCTATTCGAGTTCGACTCGGTTAAAACTCGACTCGAGTGAGCTCGACTTGATCTCGAGATCGACTCGAAATGTTAACGTGTCAAGTCGAGTTACTCATTACTCGACTCGAAAGCTCGTAAGAAGCTCGAAATCCTTCATATAATATAATATTTACAAAAAAAAAGTGAAAATATTTTGATAAAAAACTTAATTTTAGATTATTAATTAATAAATAAACATTATATATGTACTCTTATCATCATATATATACTTCTCAAATGAAAAAATTAAAGAGAATAAAGAGATGTTATAGTAAATAGAGAGTTTTACTAAAGACGTATTAAATTGCAAGCTAATCGAGATTGACTCGATTCGGTCAAATTCGGTCAAAGCTCGACTCGGTCAAAGCTCGGTCAAAACTCGACTCAATATGTTAATGAGTCGAGTCGAGCTACCCCAAACTCGAACTCGACTTGCATCATAAACACCCCTAGCTATCCCTCACTTTCACGAGTACAATAATATATATATATATATATATATATATATATATATGAGAGTGTGACACATATCGATGCTAAAAACTCTCGTATTTAGTCTAGAGATTTGTTCAAACGCTCACAATTTTTACGATTTGAGTTATGGTATGCTTTGCTTGGCTTGATCAGGTTTTGCTAGAATTTGAAACTGAATGGAATTTTGAATAGGTTTAAATCTAATTTGAAATTGAATGGAGTTTTAGTTAAGTTTTCGCTATGTTGCAAGCAATATAGTATTCACATTTTTAGATAGTTGAAATATTGATTATGTGTGTTGAGGGAGTATATATTTTATCAATAATTAATAAAAGGAAAAATTGCCCCCAATAATCCGACTTTTTGGCCGTCCGCTGAAAATAATCCCACCTATGGATTATTTTTAAATAATCCCACCTCTATACCCACCCCGCTATAAATGGTCCCAACCGGTCATGTAACCTGTTATAACAAGTTACTTGACACGTGTCGCCATGTTATTTGTCAAAAAAAAAAATTAAAATAAATTAAATTTTAAAAAAAGTTAAATGTTTTTTAAGAAAAACTAAAAAAAAAAAAAATTAAAACCACCACCAGCCCAAGCCTTCCCCACCACCCCTGACACCTCATCCCGTAGCACCGGTCACCCAAACCCCCGACCCTGGCGCCGGCGGTGCCTTGAACCCCCTCCCTTGAACACCCCGCCTCCCTCCATCACATAACCACCGTCTCCTTCCCTCACGACAGCCGTCACAGCACCAACCTCCGACGCGAAATCACCAACCCCCAACTCCAGCGTCAGCGCCGTCGGCCACCAACAACTCCATCTGTCCACCCTCTCCCTCCCCCTAAACCGCCGACTCGTGGTCCCCTAACCCTGAAACCACCAACCACCCTCGAAAACCTGTTCCCCCGCCCCGATCCCAGTCCCTCTCCCCATCCCCGTCCAAATTCCGGTCGTTCCTCCCTTTGTCCATACCGATTCCCGCCTCTCTCCCCTAGTCTCCTTCACGCGATTCCGGCCTCTCTCTCTCTCCTACCTCCGTCACGTTTCCGGCCTCTCTCTCCTTCCTCCGTCGCGATGGTTTCATATGTGGGTGCGGTTCTAGGGTTTAGGTTGGGTGGTGGTGGGTATGGTGGTGGCTGAATTGGTGTTGCTTAAGGGGTGGTGGTGATTTTTTACTTTTTTTTTTATTTATTTTTTAGACTGATCAATAAGTGACAGTGTAAATTCTACTTAAAAAAAATTTACCTGCTCAACCGGTTCCAAGTAAAATGGGATCATTTATAGCGGGGTGGGTATAAAGGTGGGATTATTTAAAAATAATCCATAGGTGGGATTATTTTCAGCGGACGGCCAAAAGGTCGGATTATTGCGGGCAATTTTTCCTTAAGAAAAACCATTAAATGGATTTTAAATGATGAATTGTCAAAGTGCACAAAATGATATGTGATAGATCTCCAATAATTGTACAGAGATTATAAGTATGAATTTTAGAATTGTCTCGAAAAAGTCATGCTTAAATTACATATTACAATCAATTAATTTTTTATAGCCATTGATTGAAAAGCTATATTGAAAGGTTTTTGAAACCCATATCGAATTTTACCAACCGTGCAAAAAAAAAAAAAACACGCTATCACCTTCAGCTTACAATAGACAAATCTTATATTAGTTACCTATGTTTTTAATGGTCCAATTTGAAGTTCCTATGGAAATAGACAATGCATTTACAAAAAAAATTGCATCACCACATTTGTTACTCAACAAATTACATAATTAGCTACTAAACTTCTATTATAAATTGAGATTCATTCCATCCTCTTTTATTTCATAACAACATTTGCATGCAAAAAAAACAACTACTTTTTATTACAAAAAAAATCCTACATACATAAAATTAGAAAAATGGGCATTTCAAGAAATAGCTTAATGGGCATCATCATAGGAATGGTGTTGGTTTCTTGCATAATTAGTGAAGTTGAAGGAGTTGATATAGGATATGGTGCAATTAGAAAAGGAGACAACAATCCTAGAAAGGCTAAAGTTGGTGCCCCTGCTAATCCTTATGCACGTGGATGCGAGAAAGCCGCAGGATGTAGAAAAAATCCAGGGAATAAAGATCCAGCGATTAAGAATTAAGATTAATCTTAATATTGATCATTTCACATATTTGTTTTTCTACTATTAATTAATTTTTGTTATTAGTTCATTACCAAAATAAATAATTTAGAGGCTGTATAGAGTTAGTTATTACTTATTAGGGATACAAATACAATAGTATTAACCTATGTATCTCTATGTGAATTATACCATTGAAATATAAAGATTTATTTCCCTATTGATCTAGATTAATGTGTTTATCGTCTCATTTTAACTATGCCGTCTTTCATCAATGAATGAAGGATACATATATTATTTTAATATTCATTTTGAAGTTGATACTATCCTACAATTAAAATGTGCGCACTTGCATGCAATACATACCTATACATAGCCATTATAGCTAGCTAGGTGGCTAGGTGCAATGCAGTCATGCAGACCTCGTATATATGCATATATAAAAAGTTTTTCTACTCAATGGCACCCCAAGAATGGTCATAGGCTAATATAAAGGTCATAAAAATGTTCAACAACTTTATATATACTCCAAACATTAAGTACATAACCCATCTAATAATTTAATGCATCTCAGAGTCATATGTCACGTGAACTATAGATTCACTTAGTTAATTGTTAAAATTCAACTTTCTAATAAACATGTGATTAATCATCAAGTACATGCATCATAATCAACACTTGATGCACGAGTGATAGATCCATTTAACAATTTTAAAATTCCCTTTTACTAGAAGAATGCCCTTCTAGTAAAAGGGTACAAAATACAACTTGGGCTTGTAAATTTAGTGGAAATTAAGAAAGTAGGTAATTATATATGGAAACTTGGAAATTTGTATTTTTAACTAGTTTAGGACTTCATGAGTAATTTTTTTCCCTTTTCCTATTTCCTCTTTAATATAAATACAACTATACAAGTACTTGTATTAGTTGTATATCAATAATATCATAAAAACCCTCCCAAAACCCTCTTTCACACAAATTAAAAGAACACGGGAAAAAACAATGGCGCAAAACCTAGGATCAACACAAAAACATTTACATCCACCGAAACCACAACTTACACAAAATACAATCAAGATTCAACAACAATTTTCATGCCTATGTATCATTGTTAGATTATGGAAATAATCTTTTGTAATTATCTTGCATATATTTAGTGTATATCTTTCCTAGTTTAGCTTAGCTTAACCTAGAAGCCTAATCTTGTATATATAATAATCTTTGATGAATGAGAAGCCTACGACAAATATTCACATATTCTCTCATGGTATCATGAGTCTAGGTTCCTTTCCTGAAAACCCTAATTCTCTTCTTCTTCTTCTACACTTCTTTTTCCTTCCTCCATGGTCTAATCAAGCAAGATTCATCCTGCTACTCTTGTGAACAACATCAAGTCTTGTATCCCCATTACTCTAGATTATGAGGGCAAGCAATTCAACACTTGGTCGACTCTTTTCCAACTTCACTGTCGTGCGAACTTGGTGATCGAGCACGTCATTCCACCTAAGGTGGATCCTTCGGCCAAGAAAATCGACCCCACACCTGCTGAAATTGCCTTCACCCAACGTCTTGACGACATCGTTCGATAATGGATTTATAACTCTATCTCTACTGACCTTATGAATTCAATTATCGACCCAGATGACACGGCGTTAGATGCGTGGAAACGGTTGGAGGAATTCTTTCTCAACAACAAATCTGCCAGAGCTTTGCAACTTGATGCTCAATTTACAAATACTCGCTTGGAGCAATTTGATGGCGTCAAGGCATATTGCACTCATCTTAAGTCTCTCACGGATAGCTTGAAAAATGTCGGGGATAAGGTCTCCGATAATCGTATGGCTCTTCAACTTTTGAAAGGTTTAACGGAGGTATACAAGCCATTTCGCACCTCTGTTCGCCATATGAATCCTCTGCCCTCCTTTGATACGCTCCGATCCATGCTCGAGCTTGAGGAGCAAGGTAATGCTACTGAGACAACCCTTGACACCAACGAGGAGGCTCATCTTTCTCACGCCAATTCCGCGGGTCAACAGGGTCATGGAGACACCTCACAGAATTCTGGATCTAAGGGGCAATCTCGTACAGGTGGCCGGAAAACCAAAGGCAAGGGCAGTGGTAAAGGGAAGGGTGGTGGCGCACCAGCCACTGCAAACCGGAGCAACCAGCAGCAGCCGCAGAACCAGTAGCAACGCTGGTCAGGTGCGTCCCAGCAGCAGCAGCAGCAGCAGGCTCCCTGGATGTTACCCTCACCTTGGGCCTATTAGAACCAAGGGTCATGGGCCACTCCTCCCTGTCCCTACCCATCTCAGGGTCCAGCCCAGCCACAGTAGTTAGCACGGCCAAATCAGCCCGAAGTTCTTGGCCCTCATCCACAACAGGCTTACTACGTGACCACTCCTCCTTCATCAACGGGTTATGTGCCTACCAATATTGAGCAAGCTATGCATACATTGTCCATTCCCGATCCGAATTACTACATGGACACGGGTGCTACCTTTCACATGACTAATGCTCAAGGTAATTTATCTCCATACTTTAATTTGCGTAAAAAATGAGTAATGCAATTATTGTTGGTGATGGTAGCAAAATTCCAATTAAAGGTTATGGTCACGAATCTCTTCACCAAAACACACTTCAACTCAAAAATGTCTTACACGTTCCTAAATTGATCAAAAATCTTATTTTTGTTCGAAAATTCACTACTGATAATCGAGTTTCTATAGAATTTGATCCTTTTGGGTTTTCTGTGAAGGATTTGCAGACGGGGAGCAAAATAGTGAGATGTAATAGCAGTGGCGATCTTTATCCCTTCTTCACAGATCGTCAAGTCTTGTCCTCTTCTATTCCGTCGGCTTTTGCAATTGTTTCTCCTAGTGTGTGGTTGTTTCTCCTAGTGTGTGGCATTCCCGTTTAGGTCATCCGGGAAATGCAATTCTTAGTTCTTTCCGTAGTAGTAATTCAGTTCAATGTAATAAGGCTAAATTTGATGTATGCCACTCTTGTCCTTTGGGAAAATTAATAAAATTGCCTTTTTACGATTCCAAGTCTCATACTACTATGCCTTTCGATATCATTCATAGTGATTTATGGACATCTCCTGTTTCTAGTTCTCAAGGTCACAAATATTATGTTCTATTTCTTGATAATTTTACAAATTTTTTGTGGACTTATCCTATGCCGTGAGTTTCATAACGACCCTTTCACAAAATTTAGCTTTATATTCTTCACCTCAAAATGGTAAAGTCGAAAGAAAAATAAAAACGATCAATAATATTGTTCGTACTATCATGTGTCATGCCTCAATGCCTCCCTCTTTTTGGCATCATGCCCTTGATATGGCCACCTATCTTCACAGCATCTTGCCTACAAAGCTACTTGACTATAATTCTCCAACTCAAATTCTTTATCAAAAACTTCCCGAGTATTCTCACCTTCGAGTGTTTGGTTGCTTGTGTTTTCCTCTATTTTCTTCATCCACTATCAATAAACTACAAGCACGTTCCACTCCTTGTGTCTTTCTTGGTTATCCATCCAATCATCGGGGTTACAAGTGTTACGATATGTGGAGTCGGAAAATTTTCATAGCTAGGCATGTGTGGTTTGATGAGTCTAGTTTTCCCTTCTCAAAGGTTCACACCCCTCAACCACATACTTATGATTTTCTAGGTGGCTACTCCAATCCTCTAATTAATCCGTTGTTGCGGCACTCTTTAGTGGACTCGAGTCACCCCCCTTCTTCTCCTAGGAAGCCCACGCCACTGCCTATTCATCCCTCTCCTAGGCAGAACACACCGCAGCCTGGCTGCGGCACAACAGCCCAATCCGCGGGTGAGCCGCGGAGTAGTCTGCCGCAGCAGCAGCTACTGCCGATTCGAACCCACTGACAGCTTTCAAATGGAAAATATTACTCAATCAGGCCCAACCAAAACGATCCAGTGTATTAAAGAATTAAGCTGGAGAAAGTGTTAACATACTCCTCCATAAGAATCAAATACTTCAAGTATTTTCATCTATCCATGCCAATATATATGAAAGTTTATCACATTGTCCAGTAGCTTGGAACTCAAAAAAAGATGAAAAGCCAATATTGGCCTGAAAATTTCATAGGTTAGTTGATAATTCATCAATCCAAGCTTTTTTTTTTTTTTTTTTTTTTTTTTTTACAGAGATTTATTATGCATATTAGATTCAGATATTACAGAAACCATGCATAATATTATTCAGATATAATTGTACATATGAAAGATAATCTTCAAGCAGGAATCCTAACTCGACCAAAATCTGAGAAATTGCCATGATTTGTGCCTAAAAACTGACCAAAGTGAAAAGTCTATTACAACTCAAACCTTCTATCATCCTATGTGCCCCAATTTGAGGAAATAAAAACCACCATATGCCATTGTTAAGGGTCATATAGGCATGATGTGGGACAAAAAAATCCTTACCAAGATCATAGGTTATGGTTTCCAGTGTTCCACCACATAAACCAATACTGATGCAAAAAATCACATCTTGAAGCTTCACGTTTCTTGTATTTGATAACACGCATCAATTTCTACTTGGCGGCTTTCTTTAGTTCAGAAACTCTAGCACCCATTATCTTAACAATTGGCTCATCTTTTGACTGAAGCAGCTTAAGTGCTGGATGAACATTAAGGTCCCCCATTACCATCTTTTCACCAGCATCCATCTCACTTAAATCCACATCAATATACGGAGGAATTATGTCGGCAGGACAAAGATATTTAACACTCTTTTTAATGATATTCAGATATGACCCTGCATGATTGATGAGCAATAACGTTTATATGACACAAGGAAAGAAAAATTCACAACATAAATAGTGGAAAGTAGGCCAACAATATGATCAATAAATTTGCAAAATTATCCAAAAGATATCTATTCTAAATAATGCAATTTCACGTTTAACACAAACAGTTAAGCAGGTTTGAAGCAGATAGGAAATTTAATACACCTTCCATTCCAACATAATAGACTGAAACAAACAACCGGAGACAAATTCTTGCGTGATAATACACCTTGCATTCCAAATGATAGACTGAATTTGATCTTATTTATTTCATAAACTTCAACCATGAAAATTATTCTTGTCATCTTGTGTACTGATACAGAGATTATCTTATGGAAGGACAAAACTACCAAGAATGTAATTCATATTAGGACTAGCACAAATTTCAAACAAATCAATATTTAATCTTACAAGAAATCAAATATGGCCTATTAGTTCAAAATGGAGGTAGTATTTGATTAGATACCTTTTCTTAATCCAGGCGATACATCTTCTCCTCTAAATACAAGGGGAACCTCAACCTTTAGTAAGGCATCAGGAGGAGCTCTAATAAAAGTAACATTAAGAATAGCTTCAGTGGCTGCATGCATGTGGAGCTGTTCAGCACAGAGGAAAACATTTCAGAAATATAAGGTCTCCAACTAGAACATCTATGGTACACAAAACTATTACTACGTAGAAGAATGAACCAAGAAAGTGACTTATTCACGATAAATTAAAATGTTTATATATCTCAGCAACAAATTTAGATTAACAAAATGATTCAAGCCTCAAACTCTTCTGCAATACGCTACCCATATATCTTCACTCCAAGGGAGGAGAAAACAAAAAAATTTCCAAAATCAGCATTACTTTTAATTGATGATCTGATTATGTACAAAGTTACCACGAACATTTAAGACATGTCATCTGGTTAGGGTCCTCCTTACCATTAAAAAAAATGAAGACATGTCCTTTAACTAGAATTACTAATACATAGCCTGCAATGTTACAAACTTCACTCTGACATTCCACTAATACACACCAGAAAATAAAGTAGAAGTGATCTTGGCTAGGTATTAAAGGCCAATCTATGTATGTTCTCTTCTTGTATCTTTGCCACAACATAAATCCTGAATTAAAACTTACAAACCACCCTTACCCAACAGCCCAGCAATTAATCAATACTACATGTACAATAGAGCTAATCAGGCAGTCACACAACCTTCTCTCAGCAGAACAACACCTCAGCTAGTCAGCTTAATACACCAAGTTTCAATAGAAAGGTTTAAAGTCCGTAGGGAACTCCATCTGTCCAGGCCAATTCCCTATCAAGATATACTTTCAAAATCCAAATTATCTCTTTTCATCCTAAAAAAAAAACGGCATTCCATTAGGGTAACATAGAAGTCAGATTTCTGCTTTCTAGTTTCTAGAACGTGTCTCAAACAATTCAAGACAATGTCATTCAAAAGTTTACACAGATATTTCAAAACTTACAATCTCTAGCATCCAAATGTCTCATAAGCTTTCTATGGAAAACTTGATCATACATATAGCATCTAATCAAACTTTTGTAGTCACTAGTCATCACTGGAGTTCACAATTAGGTACAGACTCCAAACAGCCACTTTTCCAGCCTTTGTAACAGACACAAAGTACATAAAAGAATTACTACAGTAAAATGTATACGTCGATAAACCTTCTTCTAGGTTACCATGTACACATCCTTATCCTAGTACAGGAGAGACACAAGCCCGTGGAATCTGGACGACTATCATAACGTTTAGCTTCTCAAACTCTTCACTCCATACCAAATTAATATACCAAACCAACACAAAGTACAGTATCAATGCAAACCACAGAATCTTAGACGATAATCATCTATGCTTCTCAGAAACTTCACACCATGTCCAGTAATTTAACCAGAAGGACGTTTGAAAACATCAAATTCATATATGTTCAGCCACTTTGATGCTGATTCCTTGACTTAACCTACCCTAAATAAACAAACACAAGCATGAACTTCATTTTACCATGTAGCTCACTGGCTCACACATCATCCTCAATCTTTAGTTTGCGTTTAAGCTGCCTTTCAAATTTTCAATGTCCATATCGTCCTCAATCTTTAGTTCACATTTATTGTATAACATTCTCCTTAACCACAATATAATCCTACAAGTCCTAGGTAAACCGGGCTTAATTACCTCTAAAACGAGTACGGGACTATCTTAGAATAAAAACACAACCTGATCATGCGATAAATTAGCTTAAGTCCGCCTCATTCAAGACTTCACGCATTTGTCTTCATATACAATTTTTCCTAGCATTAATCCCTTGTCTTTCTCGCTAACATCCTACAAGCAACTTTCAACCAAAAAATACTCCAACGAGTCTCAGGTGAAGTGAAGTTACAATGTTAGAACTTACAACTACATTTACAATCAGTTTGAAACTATTATCATACAAAATGTTATTTTAAGACCGTCTCATACAAGATTTCAGTACTTTAAAGTCTTCTAATTAGTTTTCTCCAAGCACCAATTTTCATTAAGCACACATGCTTTCCCTCATTTGAAACGCACCCTGATCATACAATAGATTAGCTTAATTACGCCTCATACTAGAATTTACTTATTTATGTCTTATATAATTTCTCCTAGCACTAATCCCCCATTATTCTCAGTCAATATATCCTATAAGCAAATTTCGTCAGTCTCAGGTTAAGCAAACTTACAATTATCTCTACAATCAATATGAAACTACTATCATACACAATTTTATTGTAAGTCCGTCTCATACGAGATTTCGCACTAGCATCAATTTTTATAATGAACATATGCCTTCATTTGAAAAAGGGACAAATAATTGTTTTATATATAAACCAATAATCAATAACCAAAAACTCCAAATTACAAAATATAAACAAAATTAAGAAATGCACCTTCCTGGGAAGAACACGAACATGCTCAACAACATCATCAGAATCAAAATCAGGCTTAACTTGAAGATCAAAAAGTCTAGACAAAAAGAAAGATCGACCCATTTGAGTAACAAGTTTTTTGATCTGTTTAGTTTGAACAGAAATCAACCTCTTATTACCACCATGTTGCCCATCTTTCTGCTCAAACAAAATACTTGGAATCCGACCCGATTTCCTTTCATGGGCACAGATTTTCTTCCCGGATTCGGACCTTGGGATGCCGATGATGGTCTCAGACGGGTCGGGTTTGGGGAACCCGGGAAAGTAAGAGAGGGTGGTTTCCGGGTCGTAAGGGAGGACCAAGGCGGCGGAAAAGTGGCTGAAGTGGCGGAGATGGTGGTGGAGGTTGAGGAGGAGGTGGGTTTTGCCGAGGAGTGGGCGGTGGAGAAGCATTTTTTTGAGGAGAGAGAAAGTGTGTGTTTGTGTGAGCGTGAGTTTGAGGGGTTTTTTTTGAGGGTTTTGGGTTTTGGTGTGTTTGGAAATGGTGGAGATTGTTTTTGGTTTTGGGCTGTATGTGTTGCCCAAAAGTGGAAGGAAGGTTAGATTACTTGGACAAATTGGCCATTTGGTTCGGGCACGTACTTCACGCCTCTTCTCTCCAGCTTAATTTTAGTTTATTTCAGTACGGTTAGGATCCAATTAGTTCAGTTCGATTCCTAATTTCCTTCTCTCATAAAAAATCATTTCAGTTCATTTCAATTCAGCTCCAATCAGTTCAATTCGGTTCAGTTCAGCTGAGTTCAGTAAATCAGAACAGGTCATTCGTCCGATTCTTTATAGTTGCGACACATTTTTGTTGGCATGATGATTGAGGAAGCTAATAGAGAATGTAAATGGGTGGATTACTCTTATACTCAAAAAATAAACCGTGGCGACTTTATGTTTTTTTGCTTATTGATAAATTTATTTTAATTAATTTTGTCTGATTGCCTAATCTAATGTCTTTCTTAAACAGTATACTGTCAACTTCATCTACAAATATAATTGTTGGGGAAACTTTAGATGCAAGGCTGAACAGTACAGTCCCCTAACATTCTTTTCGTCTTCACCAAACCATTTAGATGTGATGGTTGACATAGACACATTAATAAAACTTGCTCCAGCCTCTTTGGCTATAGCCAGCATCGTCTTGCCAATACCAAGAAGCCCAAAAAGCAAAATTCCTCGACAGGGTTTCAGAAGTCCTCCCTTGAACAAGTCTGGTCTACGATGAAATGGACCACATTAACACGTCCTCTAATTTGGAAGGAGAAATATTTAATGATTGAACATCGAAGTTGGCAACAAAAAGAAAATCAGCACAAACTTGAAGCACTAATTTGCTCTTTATTGAAGCAATAGAAAATGCTTTGAATTTATCAATCACATGAACAACATTACTAAGATCACCACAGTTGATCAACTGTACTTACAGGGACCTTTGGACTTGCAGCCTCATTATCTGGTGTATCCTTTGACATTAGCACAGATGCTTCTTCTCCAACTTTGTTTTTCGGAGCTGCACCTTCAGCTTTAGTTTCTGGCTTAATATATCCACGTGCTCCGACTGCTCCCTACAATTGCAGCATGATGAAGTGTTGGACTAGATGGCTCCTCAACTTTTACATATTACTCTACTCTAATAGCAAACTTACCTTTGAAGGTCTGGCACGTGATTCTGGCTTTGATGTATCCTTGGCAGATTTGAAGGTAGGACAAATATGTTGAAAGTAGACCTCTCGAATGAAATCAGGAGTTTCCCATTCCTATATTCATGCTTATTATTCATCAAATGATAAGAAATTGCTGATACAACGATCTCTTCAATGTATCTGCTGAGAACAAAGGTATCTTCCACATTAATGGAGCCAAGATCATCACATTCGATATCGTTTGCAGCTAGCACTTGAATAATGTGGTTTCTGTTGTCCTGACCCTGAATCATCTTCAGGTCCACCTCTAATTGAGACTTGTTGCTAACAAGACGTGTTTCATCTTCAGGTGGCTTAATCTCGATATTATAAGGAACATCAATGATCATATCATCGATGTCATCTTCATTGCTGTCAGAATGTGTTATTCGTACTGGTCCTGAAAGTTTCTGTAACATTTTTTGAAACAGTCTGTATAGCTTCTGAGATCTAAACAAGAGCATGTCAACATCTCTTAGATACAAAATGATTGGATATGTCCTAGATACAGAGACCATAACCTGTCCACAGAATACGGAAAACAAAAAAAGGTTATACGCCTTATACCCATGCCAAACTTGACAAATCACAAATATTTAGACATAGAGAGATGCACGGCTGGCAACCTAGCCATTAAGGATAAATAAGCACATCACCTTGTATAGTGATTGAATGAGTAGCTTTTCATCGATGGACCAGCTGCTTGTTCGCTTAAGGGGAGCTGAAGAACAGAAGTAAACATAAGCACAGGAAAAGAGAAAGACAATCAGCCATTATATGCACTGTCAGGGATTTTGGCCATTTTGCAAAGCCTTAGTATAATTAAAAGAAGAATAAACTTGAGCTACTCCAAGTATAATGGACTTAACGGTGAGATTAGTGAATCATCATGGCCACTTTCAATAGATAAACAAACTGCGGTCCTTGAGAGAATTCGTAGAAATATAAATGAGTAAATTATAAGTATGTCCAGGAACTCTTAATAGTATACAACACTTTCATCATTAGCAGAGAACTGCATCAGATGTAAATCACCAATCTTCTAATAAGATATCAACTTTGTAAAGCTCCCAAGACTGATGTTAAGATGTGAACCCTCTAGTTCCAAAACAGCAGAATCAACACTGAAAATAGTAGGTCACCAAGACTAAAGTCTAAAGATATTAACCATACAGCTGAGCACTACCTCGGTAACTCACAACATCAATGGCAAACTAAAATTTGGAAAATCACAAACTGATAGGACTGTTAAGAATAATTTGATTGAGTAAGACAAAGCTAAGACCTGTATTTGTAGGAGCGGCTTGCAAAACCAAATCATGTATACTGGCAGAGGCAGAAGCGTTCCTGCAAAACTTAGGAAAACTAGAAGAGCCTTCTATATTCCTGTGCACGGAAACAGATGGTGTTAGTGGCACATAAACTTTAGTAGATATTGGATTGGGTTTAGTAGAATTAATAGCTAACAAATAATTATCCTTTTGGTTATTGGGCGCATGATATCTTGTTATTCGATATGATTTTAGGGTGATTTTTGAACCTTGTTTACTTGATATATTGGCATTTTGGTTCACTTCTACTCTTTTGGTTAATATTCATTTTGAAGTTGATACTATCTTACAATTAAAATGTACGCACTTACATGCAATACATACCCATTAGAGCTAGCTAGGTGCAATGCAGACCTCATATGCATATAAAAAGTTTTTCTTAATAGCACCTTAAACAAGTAATTAGGGATCAAGAATGTATTTATCGATTTCTACTCAATAGCACCCCAAGTATGGTCATAGCCTCATAGGCTAATCTGAAGGTCATAAAAATGTTCAACCATTCTATATATATACTCCTAACATTCAGTATATAACCCATCTAATAATTTAATGCATGTCAAAGTCATATGTCACGTGGTCGTAGACTATAGATTCACTTAGTTAATTGTTAAAATTTAACCTTTATAATAAACACATATGATTAATCATCAAGTGCATCATAATCAGCACTCGCCGCACGGGTGATAGATCCATTTAACAATTTTAAAATTCATTAGCATTACACTTTATGTACATATAAGGTCACTCATAGAAATGGGACTATGTTGCTCATTATTTAACATTATTGAAACCACATCGATCCCCCTTGGCATTTGATTTTGAAGGATCTACCTTGGCATGCACTTCATTGCTAAGTAAAAGGTCCCACTAAAATATTCTTTTATGTAACTATGCCATTGGAGATCAAGAACAAGAAAACTTTCAAAATCAATTCATTTTACTTATAAAGAAGTTAGTGCTTATTAAGCAAAGTATTCTATCAAAAGAAGTGGCATAAGTGGAGCTTGCCTTTGTGACGCCATTTTTTGATTAAGAGCTTATTCTGATTGACTGAAATGGGCTGAACTGAACTGAATTGAATTGAAAATAATTTGAAGAGAACAGGCCATAAGAGTAATTTACAAAGTTTTCACTGCCGCTCTCCAAGAGTCCAAGTAACAACCAAGAACCAAGATCGAACCACCAACAATATATAATCTTAATTATTCAATATAAAAAAAAAGTAAAAATAAAAATAAAATGTTTGATTAGGAAATTAAAGGTTGTATTATTAGAATAATTAGAGGCTAATAGAACCTTAAGACGTACAATAATAGTCAAAACATGTTTTCTTGCCTCTTCAATTTATCAAGGAGTCAGGTCAATTTTACAATAAACCTTATTATGTCATTAGCTTCACGTTTTAGCTCTATGATGTATTTTCTTAATTTGCTGATCAAAGGCTTACATTACTATGATTATTTCAATGTTTAATATCCTATCATTGTCTTTGAATGTTCATGAATATGACCTATAGTATCACTTGATTATGTAAGTATACTAGTATTAAACACTTATTTGATTGATCTTGTACTAATATATATCTATTTTCATTGTAATTTTAATATGTTTTCTTAGATGATAAGCAGAGCTTTTGAAGATTCTCTTTATTTCAAAGTACGTACTCGTATGTAGTTATTAGTGACCGAGAGTGCACCGATCTATCAATGAATTGTGCTTTACTGATAGGAGTAACCGGGTAAGGGAGGGTGACGATTTGATCTCTGATCTTGACCTCATAGACATAATCTGTTACATTACTGAATTTGCTATATGAAATATTATGAATTTATGGACGGGTGAAGTCCAAACTTAATACGGAGTACTATTCCAACTCTTCTAGCATTGCAAACATAATGGTACAAGACTACAAGACCGGTCCATCTATTAATACATTATTAACATTATACATTATACACCATATTTCTATATTCTGAAGTCTGAACGGTTGATGTAATGGTCGCCATTATTTCCCAGCAACGAATCGTACCTACGCTATGATGACTAGCAATAAGTCAATAACCTGTTTATCCCATCTTTGTATTTACTCCATATTTTATACTTCCTTCGTCCCTAAATTATTATATTCCTATTTTTGTATTTATTCCTCACATAATAGAGAGAAGTAGGAATGTAATTTAGGGACGGAGGGAGTACTGTACTATCTACTTTACCCCTCCAATCGTAAATTAATTAAAGAAGCAGATACAGAGACATATTTACTCAAACTTGCAAGAAGCTGTTTCACTCATTGCATCATCAATAAAAATAAAATACGTGCTAAGCAGTATAATACAGTAATGATCAGGGCAAAACAAAAACAACATACCCTTTTCATCAAAATAGATATATTTACCGCTAAATAACATTTAATTAACCTACAAAAAACACTTTAAAAAATTAGTGATAAACAGGAAGAAAAAATTATCTTGATGAAGTAGCAAATCATGCTGTACCATCCTTTCCAACGCGGCGTTTTGTGGCAACAGATCACTGTAATACAGCAAGGTGGTGATCATGGCTGTTGGTTGATCCACTAGTGATCTCAACATCCTAGTCATTTGTCTCAATAATAATGGCCTAAAAGACTGCCCAACCAAAAAAAAAAAATGTAATCAATGAGTGAAAACAAAATTAAATCACGAGTTTCACGAGACCAGAGTCTGATCACGTTCAAGTTTATAACTGTAATACGCGTACATAGCATGATAATTAAATTAAAGTAAACAATTTTAACACGTAGATTGATTAATTAATGTACTTACCATAGCTCGAACGACTAGAGAAACAAAGGAAATGAATGAATTTCTTTATTTTACCGCGATTATGAACTTTCGAGGTTGGAGGGAGGAGGAGAAAGATCAAGAGGGAGACTGGTTAACTAGAATAAGGGTATATATAACAAAGAATATAAGGATTTTGGTTTTGACTTGGAGAAGGGGTATGTAATAAGGTCGGAAATAAGGAAATTTAAATTTATTTGAAGAGACAAGAAATAATTAGAGGGTTTTGACTTAAATTGTAACTTTGGGGCCAAGAAAATAATCTAAAGTAATAACTACTCTATCTATCTTAGGTGATTAGGAATTTAGGATTAGGGAAGATAGCGGTTGACATGATACTATATAATGCCCACCAAAATTGTGCGGTCCAAATCAAATAAAAGAGGCATCGACATAAATTAAGCTTAAGAAAATACTTGTATTGTTATATCCCATATAATATAAAGGTTGCTTTCATCATCAAAGTTGTCCCTTGGAATCTTACCTAAATCACAATATTGTATGTAATCTTCCTATTCATAGCTAACAAATAATTATCCTTTTGGTTATTGGGCGCATCCTCCTTTTTAAATCTTGATAAAATAAATAAATTGCGGTTTAAGGTCCGCTCTTAGTTATGTTTATTCTGTATTTAATTTAGCTTATTTTGTTTGAACTTAATTTATCTCAAATTATTCTATCTTATATTATTGTATACTCGTATATTTATATATAAGTTGTTTGAAAAATAAATACTACGTATATACTTCCTCCGTTCTTTATTACTTGACTCGCTTTGACTTTTACACTATTCACCACCCCTCTTTTGACCGTCTTTTGTGAATAATATGTACGAAAAAATATATTCATGTATGATCTTTTTGGATTCGTCTCAATAAGTGCTACCATAATATATAACTTTTATAATTTTTAATTATGGAGAATTTAAGTTATTGATTGTTAAAGTTTTGCATTGACAAGCGTGATAAAAGAAACAAGTCAAGTAAAAAACAAGGGAAGTATATATATTGTGTAAGAACTGTTCCAACAATTTACCATCGTCTTTTTTATTATCTCTCTATAAAAAAACAGAAGGCAAAAAAGTAAATTGCTATCCACTACAAGTGACTAAGTGAGTGTACTATGCGATAAAAGTAAAACTTAAATGGATGACAATAAGAAAGTTTGGGCAAATTAGTTTTTGGCTAGGTAGGTCAGAAAGATTCCACTAAAACCCAAAAAAAAAAATTGTAGAAAAGCATACAAGTCGAATAGGATAACACAAGGACGGCACTAGGTTTTCTTCAATCGGTCATTCCTCAACAAAACGTGAACAAAAGCAGTACTCATTATGTCACTCCAATTTATATACCATTTGTCCATTTCAATATGTCACTTTGCCACATCTTACTTGACAATGATCTATTATTTATATAGTCCTTTGTATAAATATATATATATATATTGAATGTGCATAGATGTAACAGTTGATGTTATTTTTGTATGTCTAACATTAAATTCATCTTACAAATAATTAATTAAGTGTAAAATAGTTGTGTTTTAGATTTTGAACAAGATAAAATAATTACTCCTATGATAACCAAAAAAATTGCATACCAGTCATGGTTAATTGGTTATATTGAATAGAGTAGTACGACGGCTCACCTCAATACAAGAGCATTGGCAATATACACAAATACTCTCGATGTTACTCTTAGTAATACTACAAATATACAAGTATTATTATTTTCTTGTCAAATATTTATATATAATTATAAGGTTGTTAAATTCTTAGAAGAATAAAATGCTAATATATGAGTGATATATTAATAAATGGTGGAATTTGGAGCGTAGATGTGTACACTATAAGATCCACACTCACTTTACCGATCATTATTCATCTTAAATATCCGCTTTTATTAATAGAATCATACAAATTAGAGTACAATTTTTTTTTTTTGAGGAATTAGAGTACATATTTAGGGTTTTATTTAATATGTTTTTTTTTTTAATGAAATCGAATTTTATAAGGCATAAATTGTCATAACCATCATTGTATTTTGACTTGTGCATATCATATTTGAATCCTAATAGGTACTCTTTTTTAACAACCAAAATTAGGTAAACATTTTACTTGAAGTTTGACTACTTGTGCATACCATATTTGAATGACAATAGTTACTTTTTTTTTTTTTACAATAAAATAAAAATTAGGTAAACCTTTTCACTTAATTGTTTAATTAACTTCATTTTGATGTGATTAGACCTCTAATTTTAGGCCCATGAAAGTGATCCATGGATGTCTTGTGTCCACATGAAAATATAAATAAGATGGTCATCATTAAGCATTTAATTAAGATTACTTGCACCATAAGATGGGCTACTACTTAGGAAGACCGAGCATTATTTTTTCTTTTAATCTGATCAATGAGTTAAAAGGGACACTACATATAATGATATAATTAACAAACTAAACAAAGGATGAAATTTAATCTAATGACCTAATATTTACTAGCTCGTAGTTTTTTTTAATATACCATAAGACGATTAAAAATATTTAAAATTTAATTAGGATTATTTTCAAAGCACTTACTTTGGGTCTAAATAATCCACAATGACATTAAACGTTACAATTGAGAGATGGGTTGGATGATGACGATTTAAAACGATGATCTATATTGTCAATAATAATAATAATTATAATAATAATAATAATGATTTAATGTACAACAACCACCTTTGATTTTAAATATATTATAAGTTGATTAGTTACAATAGCATGTACATGTATTGAAATGAGTGTAACAATCATGGTTGATTTGCAATCATCAAATATTAATACAACTTGCAAGCAAATTTGAAAGTGTCGAACTCATATTATGACTTTAAAATCACAAGTTCAAGCTCCACCGTACCAAATGCTTTTGAACCTACATAGCTACTCATACTCTCATTGTCTCATAGCATGTATGCTCGTATTATAGAAGATAGATTTATGGATATAGAATGCCTTTATTTCAAGTCGTACAGAACATTTTTTTTTTTTTTTTACCAGTGCTTGCGTAAAAAATACGAAGTATAGTTTTGACTTTTATAATGAATCTTGATTACAGCCGTCGGAGAGTTTGGTTTGCAAAATGTTTTAGAAAAACAAATAATAATGTTGAGAGTGGGATTTGAACCCACAAATAGCGCCTGTTTAGTATTTACTATATATTATATTGTATGTCATCGATTAATTATAATCATTGCTCTTAAATTGCTTGTACTATACGAAGAACAACTCAGTATCATGCTAAAAAGATGTTATTTTATTATTGGAAGTCATGGCAAAGAAAAATAAAGGAGGGGACAAAGAAAGTGATTAAGGGTCTGTTTCAACTTACTGAAAACAACTGAACTAAACTAAAGTAATTTGGACTAAACTAAAATGATTTGACCTCAATAGAGCTTAAATGAATTGTTTATGAGAGGAAAAAAATTATAAATTAGACTTAAACTAAATTGAATTGATTGGAGCTGAACTGAAATTAATTTAAGCTGAACAGAAGAGGCCCTAAATTAAAAGGTAATCAAGTCACTCATAACATGCACTAAGTCAATCATAAATGCTAATAAACAATATAGAAGGTAATCACGACACAAATATCAACTACAATGGTTAGCTAATTTATATAATAGCTTGGCATGCTACATCATCTTCTTAAGCTACAACAATTCAAGCTATTTGTTGCTCCAATGGTTAAGCTAGTTGTAAATTAATTTATTTTTAAATTTATAATATTTTTTATCTAATAAATATTTGCCAAGCTAATTAGCTTTACAAAGCTAATTTGCTTGCCAAAGCTAATCAACAAGATGTGCAACAATGTTGTAGCTACTAGCTTAAAATTTTTAATATTTGCAAGCTAGTCCCTTTTCTCAACCATTGGAGTTGCTAAGATTGTTTTACTTTTTTTTTTAATAACATTTAAATTAATACACACAAACAAAACAATACCCAGGGTCGGTTCTCTTTAGCTTAATTTCAGTTCAGTTCAACTCTAATTAGTTCAGTTCAACTCCTAATTTCCTTCTCTCATAAAATATCCATTTCAACTCTATTCAGTTTAGTTCAGTGGATTAGAACATGCCCTCGGTGATAATCATGACACTTTGTAACTGCTAACAAGTCAAACATATCAAAGGCATTTTACTTTCTATACTTTTCCAACTCATCCATTTGGAGTTTTGGACTAAATAAGTATTCTTAAACTATTCAAAATGAATGTACAATATGTTAGAGACGACAATAACTAGATTCAACCTAGTTCATTTTAAAAATTTATGTACATGATGAAATATTTATGTTAATGGCCTATTCTGTTCAACTTGATTTTTGTTCACTTTATCTCAATTCTTAGTTTCCTTCTCTCATAAACAATTCATTTCAGTAAATCAGAACATGTCCTAAGTCAATCATATTAATCTTTAAAACCATTTATGTACACTAAATATGCAGTAATTATCTTTTAATGTCATGTACGAGTATATAGGGATTCCTTAGTTACCTTTATTTGTTAAATAAATTTTGTCAAGAGAGCAACCTAATTAATAAAGAAACATGTAACTTTTGATTACTTTTAGGATAAATTTATTAAACAACCTTATGTAAGTGCAACATTATCGTGTACTCATAATGATCATTAACCATTATGATTACATTATGTTCTGTAAAATTATTCGAAATACTTCTAATTGAAGGTCGGGACTCATAGATCAACCGATATGAGTGGGAGGAGAGTATACCATCGAAAAATCCTCAATCTTAAAAACTTTAAAACTCAACCCAACGTGATGAGCAGCAACTCTGACCCATTCGAACTTCTAAAATATCTCCAATATTAATAATATTAGATTATCATTTACTTAAATTAATTAATAAATGTTTGATTATTTAAACACTAATTTGAATTCCTAAAAATAAGCGCGCGTGAAGAGGTGGCAAGTCATTGTTCTTTTTCTCTCTCCTCAACTCAGTATCTGTCAATCATTTCACTTTCCTTACTTTTTCCACCACCTTACTTTCTTAGCGCGTCTAATTTACGCTCCTATTTTCAATTTGAATCTCTCTTTCATTCAACAATTTTCAAACATCAATCAAATTTAGATTAATCGAGAACATTTCTCTATTTTCTCTCTCCTCCCTTTTTCTTCTTCTTCAAATTTCTGATTTTTCTTCACTTTTTGTTGTTGTTGTTGTTGTTTAATCGTTTCAATTTTCTGGAAAATTAATTTGAATTTCTGGGGAGGTAGCTGAAACCCTAATTTTGAATTTATGTGAAAGAGGGAAAAAAAATATTTAAAATTACGAATTAAAGATGAATGTGATTGGACGACAAATGCAGAGGTCTGGTGCTAATACGCGTCAGTATTCTGATAATGACGATAGTAGCAATTTCATTGAAGTTCCTTCTAAATGGCTTCAATCTGCTAATCTTCCTCAGGTATAATTTTTAATCTTTTGAAATTTATTTAAATTAAATTAATATGTATTTTGATGAATTTAGTTTTTGTGATTAATGCTGAATGATTGAAATTTTGATTGAATTTAATGGTGAAATGATAGGATTATGTTTTTTATGGAGGAGAAGGAGGTTCAAAATGGAATAGGAATTTGCAGAGGGGTAATTCTGGGCTTGAGTTTCCATTGGACCCACCTTCACCATTGAATTCCTCTCGATCATCGAGTTTAAGGAAAACCGGCGACGACGGCGGTTTGTTGAATGAAATTAGCCCAGGATTGCTTGATATTCATTCATTTGATACCGAGCTCATTCCTGAGGTATAAATTCCCTGTCTTCCTTTTAATTTGGTGTATTTTGTTGTTATTTTTGCTGTTTATGTTATAGCATTATTATGATATTTGGACAATTGTTTTGTTGGAAATGAAAATGTTAGAATTGGGCCAATTAGATTATCAGGAGATATTGTGTCAAGATTGAGAATTTGGACTTGGATGAGTTTTCGAACAAGATGAATAATGATCAATTAGGACATTTATTTGGGATGTGCATTGTGCTATATAACATATACAGTGAAAGTTGACCAAAGCTCTTACTTAAGTTATATCATACTTGAGAAGGTGGACTGACAATGGGGAGGTGATGAACTATTCGTGTCTATAAACGAGCGTTTATTTTGATGTTGTGCGTTGCAGTTACCTTATTGATTTGGGGAGTGTTTCATTGTGAAGCTTTGCTTTTTACAAACAAGTCAACAGTCAACTTTATCAAAGGCAGGCTAGGTCCACGTTCTTTCGTTCAGAAGCTTTCCCCAAGAATCCTTAGCTTTATATTGTAAAGCAAATAAAACTGAAGCATCTTCTGTAATTGAGAATCCCTTATGGCAATGAGTCTCGTGAATCACAGCAAGATTCCTATGGTGATATGAATCCTGTTTTCCTATGATTTAGTTGACTTTGAGTAACATGTGTATAAAGCTACAGAGCAGCTATATCAATGTTCCTGGGGTGATACCTGTTAAATACCTGTTCTGCACTTGTCTGTATTTCAACTCTTAAGTTAATTAATGCTGATAATTTTAATTTCTGTATTGCATTGTGTTGATTTTTTTTAACTTTGAATTGTTGCTAGATTCCAGCTCGCAACCTATACGATGTATCTTCGCTTAATCAACCTGCCCGGGGTAAGGGCCTTGAAGAATCAGATGTATATCTTGCTGCAAATAAGAATACAAATAAGGCAAATTCTGTTGCAAAAATTAAAGTAGTGGTATGGCTTTCCTCTCTCTATTTTTTTAAAATCTTATTCCTGGATTTAATGGCTCTTCATAATCATATTTAGACTTGGTAAGACTTAAGAGTGCAGTGGGTGACAGTAAAATGGTTACTGTTAATTTGCAGCCAAAAGTTTTGTAAGTAGGATGGTCTCAGCCGATAATTTAAAAGAACTGAAAAACTAATAAAATGGTGCCTCATTTGTAAAGTACATATTTTGATTGTGACTAGCAGGATGGATTTTGTATTTTTGTTAAAAATGTAAAGAACATATCTTATTTTAGTACCTCTCTTATAATGGTTACATTTTTGATGCAGGTGCGGAAGAGGCCATTGAACAAAAGGGAGATAGCGAAGAATGAGGATGACATTATAACCATTGAGCCAAATTCTAATGCTTTGACTGTCCATGAAACAAAACTCAAAGTGAGTATCCTTGATTGCTTGGTATTGTAAAATCAAGCTAATAGCTATTGACCTATTGCAGATACAAGTATATGATGGTGAGGATCTTGTTGGATCATCCTTGTCATTTTCTGTTGAAATTATTCATGATAAGATCGTCTGATTATAAGTCGGCTCAACTGCTATATAGTATTCTTCGCTTTGTTAAAATGTGATACATCTATATTTTTCCTATTTCATGTCATAATATCCTTACAGTAAAGACCATTTGATTATGAAATTGGTTTCTATGTTACAAACTTACATGTAGTGTTTCATAAATTCATACTGTACTTTCTCACAGTTAATGTTATTTGTTTATGCAGTTAATGTTTGGGGATAATTTTGACAGCATTATGCTTTTATTGAGTTTGTTGGATATTCTGCATTATTTGGGAATTGGGAAGCGTATGTTTATATTTTTGGTGGGTTATGTGATTATTTTCTGATAAATCTTAAGGGTGGGGATTATTTAATATAATTGAGTAGGCCATAGTGCCATACACCTATTGTTGTCTCAACTCTCAAATGTACCTTGGAGATGGAATTGAAGCTCACACAATTGCACACTTTTGCTGGAAGTTGTGTTATTGTGCTAGCCTTTTTAGATTGTCCGCTCTTTTGTCTATCATAGTGCACTTCTATTGACGTCATTAATCTGAACTAGACTCTGGATAGTCTGGAATTATCCGCTCACTTGTCCAAGCCTCTAGATAAATCAGAGCACTGTTTCTGCTGCATTATTTTAATTCCTGTTTGATGTAGAGCCCTAGGAGATATGAGCAGAGACACGTAGTGCTTTTAAGAGTCCATTTTGTTTCTCTTTTTTCACATTAATCTTTACTTGATTTTATTAATACTTAATCCTTCAACTTCAATCTTTCAAAAAATAAAAATCCTTTTAACTTCAAAAAAGTTTTAGTAGATTCTGAATGCAATTGTGCTTTTAATTTATCACAAGCCATCCTATTTAATCTGTATATTGGAAGGAATGCAAGAGTAAAGGTGGATTAGGTGCAGCATATTTTTTAATCTTATTTTACTGTGCTTACTTCAAACAGTGAATTTTGATCATTTGATGCAGCCATCACCATAGGGAACACTAATATCCATCTTTAGTTTTATTTTGATGTTGATATGAGATTCATTTAGTTGGGGACTTCCAAAATGTAATATCTTGTGTATAATGTCTTCCATTTTATTGAGATTAAGGGATCAATTGTTTCCAAAATGCTTTCAATACTATCTGCAGTCTAGCTTGATGTCCTCTGCATCCTTTGGTAAATTGCTTTTTATGTGTTTGTGATTTGCCTAGTTTACTTCATAATCTATTTGTTGATGTTTCCAGGTTGATCTAACTGAATATGTGGAAAGACATGGATTTGTGTTTGATGCGGTGCTTCATGAAAATGTCTCAAATGATGCGGTAACTATCTTATACTTATTTCTTCTTTAGTTCACATGATTATTACCAATGCATTTATTCAAGCGCTAATATTTTTTATTACCAAAATTTTAAAATGTAAAACTTGTTTTTTTTTTTTTTTTTATTTATTTATAAAATATACAAAAAGATGAATCCAACAAGGACCCACTGCCTTTTTCTTATAGATCACAAGTGAACAGTGTCTATAGTGAAAACGTGTCAACTGTAAGGAATGCTAGAATGGAGGGAGCATTAAAAAAAAATACTACTCATTAATGTTAGCTTTATTCTTCTCATTCAGAATGCTTCACTCTTCTGATTCCCGCAGGTGTATGCTGAAACAGTGGAGCCTGTTGTCCCACTGATATTTCAAAAGACAAAAGCAACGTGTTTTGCATATGGTCAAACAGGCAAGTGGATTTTAAATGACATATGCTGCTCCTCTTGGATGACTAGAAAATCTGTGTTTAACTATCGAGCAAGTGAAAGTCACTAAGTTCAATTTCTGACCTATTGTCCAATGAAAACGTTGTTGTTGTCGGGTTGGGTGTCCCCCCCCCCCCTTTCTTAAGTTTATGGCATACATTATGTTGAGAGTGGTAACTTGGAAATTTGCAGTCTTGTTTTAGGTTGCAGTTATACTTGTCTTCTTATGATTTTATTTTTAATTTGTCTTAAATATATGTATTTCAGTTGTATTGAAGCTGTAATGTTCAACTTATGTCATCTGTCAAACAACTTTAGCAGCTAAGAGCCCTGGCCATGTAGTTTCCTTCATTGTGTCGTTTTAATTTACTGATTTATGGTATTGATGGCTCAAAGTTTGCATGATACTTGCTTGTCTTCTCCTTTGTAGTTTTTAGGATGAGATTGCTATTAGCCAGTAGTCCAGTACCCACCTCCCTCACCCCAGCTCCTAGTTTTTTTTTTTTTTTTTTGGGGGTGGGGGGGGGGGTCAAAATATTATGGTTGTAAGCTTGATGTTGTAAGATACCCCGTTCTTGTAAGCATACTTTTATAGTCTTTATTTTTCTTTAAATCATTTCAATTATTAAGCTAGTCTAGATTTTTTGTAGGGAGTGGAAAGACTTACACTATGCAGCCACTACCCCTGAGAGCATCCCAAGACATCTTGAGATTAATACACAATACTTATAGAAACCAAGGGTTTCAATTGTTTGTCAGTTTCTTTGAGATATATGGAGGGAAACTTTATGATCTTCTGAATGATCGCAAGTAAGTTTTTCTCCTGCTGTACTAGAGGTTGTCTCAGAGGATTTTCAGACCTTGTGCTGAGTGTAAAATCTCTTTTTATAGGAGCCTCTGTATGAGAGAGGATGGCAAAAAGCAGGTTTGCATTGTTGGCTTGCAAGAATACAAAGTATACGACGCTGAAACAATAAGAGATCTAATTGAGAAAGGAAATGCCACAAGAAGCACTGGTACAACTGGCGCAAATGAGGAGTCGTCAAGATCACATGCTATACTTCAGCTTGTCATTAAGAGATCAGCTGATGGTAGTGAATCGAAGGCTCCTCGCATTGTCGGTAAACTTTCTTTCATAGACCTTGCTGGAAGTGAACGTGGTGCAGATACTACAGATAACGATAAGCAAACAAGGTGATCAATATATGGCTTTTTTTTTGTGGTAATTTTGAATGTTTTTATATGCTGGTCCCATTGTCTTGAGGCAGGGAAAGTTTTATGAAAATTTGTTGATATTTAATTCTGACTTTCACGAGTCACTCTTATGTGAATTAGTAAAGTCTCCTACTGATGTCCATGATGATGCTTGCAGTCTTGCTCACCCCAGATTTGTTTCCCTTCATTTTATTATTATTACTTTTTTTTTTTTTTTTTTTTTTTTTTGCCATGACCATTTTTTTTTTTTTTATGTACGCAAGAGGTGGTTGAGTGGTAATGAAAATATATGAAGAAAAACATGTGTTGAGACTTTGAGATAGAGTTTTGTTACCATGGACGACTTCCCAATTATACTTCGTATAAATTTACATTGCCTCCAGTCCAGCACTCCAGCTAGCCTTTAGGTTCACAGACTCTGTGTGTGTTATACTTGTATTGGTATTAGACAAACATATGTAATTAAGTACTTATCTTTTATTTTTATTGCAGAATGGAAGGTGCCGAAATCAACAAGAGCCTCCTTGCTTTGAAAGAATGTATAAGAGCTCTTGACAATGACCAAAATCATATTCCTTTTCGGGGGAGTAAGCTTACTGAAGTCTTGCGGGATTCTTTTGTTGGCAACTCACGGACAATTATGATTTCTTGCATTTCTCCAAATTCTGGTTCCTGTGAACATACCCTTAACACACTAAGATATGCTGACAGGTATTTTCTGCTTAAAAGTATAAAAGATTATGAACCTTGGTTTTTTTGAAGGTCGTGCTTGACAATGTATATCACATATGCATTCCAGAGTCAAAAGTCTATCTAAAGGAAACAACTCAAAAAGGGATCTGCCATCATCAACGGCTTCTAAAGACTCAAATTCACAACTCTCAAGTTCTGGTTCAGCTCAGATATTAAATCTTGAAGACACCACAGCTAATGGTCTGAGTGGAAGTGGTAGGTTTGGATGGTCCAGAGAATTTGAAAGAGAATCCCCTCCCTCTCCCAAAATAGAACGTGTTCCCAGTGGAAGGGCAGATAACACATCTGCTTCTGGGTATTCAGATTATTACAGAGGACAAAAGGGTGGTCTAGTTGACATGTCAGTGGATGATTATGATAACTCTGAAGACATTTTTGAGCAAGAGAAGCCGTATCGGATGAAGAATAAGAAGACAGAAACTTATCATGTGCCTGCTGCTGAGAACAGAACGAGGAAAAACCTCACTGACTTTAGTTCTAATAACATGAGTTCAGATGATGATCTTAATGTATTACTGAAGGTAAGGAATGCATATTCTATACTCTTGTACTGATCTGTTAAATGTATAATTCTTAGTATTCTCTTGTTTTATTTGGTGGTAGGAAGAGGAGGACCTGGTTGCTGCTCACAGAGGATTCATTGAAGAGACAATGGAACTTGTCAGAGAGGTCTGTCATCTAATATTAGATCAATACTCCCTTTGTCCCAAAACTCCCAATATATTAGACCAGGGTGAAAGTTTATTAAATTTGATCATTGATTTCTCAATAAATGTGTTAATTCTCAACGCAAACTTGCTCATGCCTGATTCATCCCATTTATTATTTGTACACCTTGGAAAAAAGTGTTTCATATACTAATTGTGGGATAGGAAGGTTGTCTAATTGAGTATTACTTGACTCTTAACTTCAAGTTATATCTTTCCGTTCTCTGCAGGAGATGAATTTGTTGATTGAAGCTGAACAACCTGGAAACCATGTGGATGATTATATTTCCAAGTTGAACTCCATTCTTTCACAAAAGGCTGCTGGGATCCTAAAACTGCAAAGCCAGCTATCTAACTTCAAGCAACGGCTCAATGAGCAAAATGTCTTAGTTTCTGCTGCTAGATATTGATATTATCAGGACACTTCTTAAAGAAGACAGTGATGATAATACAAAATGGTGTGGACTAGATCGAGATGGTTTGTTAGCATTTCTGATTGGTAAGGTTGCTGCATTAGGGCTATGTAGGGCACTAAGAGCCTCTACTACTAGTGCCATGGACTTGGAAAGATCCAGGCGCCTCTGTTGTGATTTGATTCTGGCCTATCTTTCAGGGTGGCGGTTTTACCCTTATTGTAGGACAGTTATATTCATTTGTTCTAGGCTTTGTATCTCAGGAGTTGCATTCCTAGCTACTCCCTCAAAGTCGACTCCCCAACCCGAAAAAAGGAAAAAAAAACAAAAACAAAAACAAAAAAAAAAAAAGCCACTCCTACAGTTAGGGAGTGAGATATAGAATTGTACTGTAATACACAGAAAGTTACTGCTGATTAGCAATATTTTTAAAAGCATTGAAGCAGTTAAATGTATGTTCATTCCTGGTGAAAATAGCACTTTTTGATTGGTGCACTAATTTGATTAAGAACTGCGTTCTTTTCTACTATTTGTTTCTTGCTCCGTATTGTTTGTCCTAAACTTCTAATTGAATTATTTCAATATTTCTTCCAAACAATATCATACGATTCAAATTGCAACACTTGTATTGTTGTTAGGTGCAGTTTTCTTAGTTTAGATTATCATATACTTCGTATTAAAGATTAAAAGAGCACCTAAGTTGTTACTAAAACCAACTCCTAGAACATCTTAAACTGTTGCTGCTTGCATTGACGTAACCAGTTAATACAATTAATACGGCTGCACCAACTCGACAAGTATTTGATGTATCGACTCATAGCCTTGGAAAACAAATCCAACTCGAACAATTTGACTTAAACCTAAACTACCTCGAATGAATTAATTACGAGTACAGATTTTGATTTTGATTCAAAACAAGTTGTTACAGTTAGATTACAAACTAATAGACGATAAATTCTAATATAAATCGTACCAAACTTAATCCAAACCCAATCCGAACAAGAACAGGTAACAACCCATATGCCACATGTACTCGAATTTACCGCCTTTGCATTGGTGATAATCCACGAATGCAATCCATCGCTGCTCAAAAGGACGAAAACGTGGCTGAAAATGTAAAGCCAATCTCCAAACTGCTGCCACGCCGAATATCAAGTTTATGGCACACGTTTTTTGACAATAGCCCATCCACCAAATCTTTTACACAACCCATGTTACACTGTAGGTCCAATTGGACCTATTCTTACATGTCTTCTTGTAATAAGCTATACCCCAAAATTATTAAGCCAATTACATTAACGGATTTTTCACCAAATACCACTGAGTTTAAGCTTAATTCATCGTATACCACCAAAAACTTTGTAATACACCATATAACCTTCAGTTTTATGGAAATGTCACAACATGCCATTAATGACTAACGGAGGTTAACACCGTTAGTCATTAAGGTTAATAATGCCACGTGGCAGCTTGTGATTTGTTCCCTTCTAAATAATTTAATTTTAAAATAATTATTTAATTAATTATTGAAAAAATAAAAAAAAGGAAAAAAAAACCTACCACCAACTAACTTTCCCCCAGTGAGCCACCACCAACGACACCCCCTGTCAGCCACCACCAACGAACCCCCTTACCGGTGCGGAATCCGACCAGGACCTCCGCCGACGCTCCTCCTCTTCCCCTGAATTATCGTGCCTCCCTCGAAAACCCCATTGAATCACCTCAAAAACCCCTTACCTCACTCGAAAAATCGTCCCCTAAACACCGGCCGACGTCGAAACCCTCCTCCCCCGCGTCGGCGAACGAATTCGCCTTATCCCGATGCCATCTCCACCCCATTGAACCACCACGTATGTCGAAACCCTAAAACCAAGATCTAGGGTTTCGATTTTGATGTTTTGGGGTTTCGTTGTGGTGGTTTTCGGCAAGTTTCGTGGTGAAGGTTAGAGGGGTTAATCGGGGATGGGATGGAGGTTTTCGGTCGTTTTGCAAAGGTTAGAGGGGTTAATCGAGGCCGGGATGGAGGTTTTCGGTGATTTGCGAAGGTTAGAGGGGTTTTTCGAGGCTGGTTGGTGTTTTAAGGGTGGTGGTTATGGTGGTTTCGGGGGTAGGATTTGGGTCAAGGGGTGATTTCGAAGTTGGACTTAGATCGGCGGGGTGATTGTTTATATTGGGGGGTTCCGGCCGGCCGATTTCGAGGGTTTAGGGTGGCGGCCGGCTAGTTTTAGGTGGGCCTAGGGTAAGGGTTAGGGTTTCGCGGTGGCTTGGGGGGTGGGTGGTGGGTGGTTTTTTTTTTTTTTATTTTTTATTTTTTTTTATACATATTTTTGTTTTTGTTTTAACTTTTTTTATTTGGACCAATTATTGAGTGTCACGTGGCATTATTAACCTTAATGACTAACGGTGTTAACCTCCGTTGGTCATTAATGGCATGTTGTGACATTTCCATAAAACTAAAGGTTATATGGTGTATTAGAAAGTTTTTTGTGGTATACGGTGAATTAAGCTTAAACTCAGTGGTATTTGGTGAAAAATCCGTTAAATTAACTACGTAGTATAAACATTAATAAGATGTAACAAATGAATTATTCGGATCAATATATTACCATCGTCTACAACTCTACATAGGTTAATCATATGGTTCTAATCATGTTCAACTGGACTGTTAGCTAGCATATTATGCTAACAAATCAATATTAACCAAAATCCCTTCAAAAGCTATCAATTTGAATTTAAATTACATAAAATATTAGACCCTCAATTCGAGCCTCAGTTTGCTAATTCGGTTTAGATGATCATCTAAGTTAAAAATTGGTTTTGGAAAATACTACTAGCTTAACTAGAGATGAAGATTTTAAATTGGACCCTTTTTTTTTAGTTCTTTACAGTCTTACAACAAATACTACCTTCGGTCCAAATTACTCGTAACTTTGAGGTATTATTTATGATTTTGTGAGATATAAAATATTTTAAAGTTGTGAGTAATTTGAACCGAAGGTATTTTGGGGTATTATTTATGAGACATAAAATATTTTTAAGTTGCAAGTAATTTGAACCGAACTCAAGCATGGTCTGATTATGATTGAAAAGAGAGTCAAATGACCCACATCTCTAAAGCTTTTATCCCGGATATAACTTCTATAGCATGATGACATTTTCCCTTTTTGTTGATGTGATATTTGTGAATGTATTTATTGGACAAATGTTCGATGTATAATTACTAAGCATTTGCTACACTTATTTTCGTTGCATTTGAGCTCCAATCTTATAATTTTGGTTTTATGAATTTAGCACAATTTGTATGCTTTATTACTTTCAGTCAAGAATTTGATTGATGGAAAGGAATACGAGCCTCTTGGATTTCAAATGTGTGAAATTTACCTTTTTCTATGGTTGGTTTCAATAGTAATTTTTAAATTTGTTAATTTTGTACGGAAAGTAATCATGCATTTTATTAACTTATGAATATTATTTTGACACTAAGGGTTTGTTCTCATACGTTTATTTTCAATTCAATTACTAATTTTCTTCTCTTATAAAATATTCATTTTAGTTCAGTTCAGTTCAGTTCAGTTCAGCTCAGTTCAGTCTATGAGAACAAATCCTAAGTAGTCAGTCAGTCTAGAGGTAAATATTGTATTTCACAGGTTTAAGGTTGTAAAAATTAATAGTTACTAGAGAGCAGTATATTATGAAAGTGCTGAAGTGGAAATTTCTAAACCCCCCCCCAATGGGTCTTTTCCGTTGATTTGAGCTGGAATTGAAAATTGACTTCCTAAGAAATTGCATTTCTTAGTGTTTACAAAAATAGTGTTGTACATTTGTATTAGTGTTTCCTATAAAACTCCACCTCGAAATAGCAAGACTAGAAACATCTAAAAGTTTCTAATTAATAAAAAAATACATTATTATCTTATTAATTTTTAGTATCAAATAAATCACAACATATATAAATTATATTAATCCTATAAAGTCAATTCACCTTAAAAATTAAGTACAAGTATAGCATGATCGAATTCTACAAATGATTACTGACCATTTGATCTAGAAATGAGGAAAACTTGAATTGCATCCAAAAGTACAACATGAATCATAACATAACACTTATACCTCAGTAAAATTAAATTAGAAATTGGTGTAGTGTAGATCTAGTGATCCATACTTTTTAGTAACAATCAAATTGGATGCATATATGGTATGGGTGTCTAGGTGGCACGTGAAATAGATAAAAGAAGTTGTCTCAAAGATCACCAACATATTCATTGGTGCCACACAAACTCACACACTTGTCAAACATCACTCTTTCTTTCTAAATTCTTAGTTTGCATCATTTCGGATGTCAATTGAAAGTTTGGTAAAAAAAAAAAATATATCCCAAGTCTTTACCATTATAATTAGATATTTTTGTTTCCAAATAAGATGTCAATATATATGACATCAAATTAAACCGACTTGTAACTATCGTTTTCTTAAAACTTTATTTGCACCAAATCTTACTAATTAAATTCAGGAGCATCTTGAATGGTAAAAACATAAGTATTAATTTATGTGCTTCGTTTAGTGGCATAATGAAAGAAAAAGGGATTAGGAGCTATATTATTGTACCCTTTATTATTGGAACAAAAGGAGGAGTCTTTCGATCTCAGTGACTTAACATATCACTTATTTAATTCTTTCATGACATCTAATAATCGAGTGTATTTTGGAAGCAAGTAATCAAGTTTATTACCTCTTTTTTTAAACATGGTAAGATACGGGGGATACTACTCCTATCACAAGAGGGGTGAGGTGAGGATGGACTCAGGTCACTCCGGGGGAGATGGAGGGACAAACCCTGAAACCCGTCCCTCCACACCATGATGCTCTATAGGTAATTGTTTTTTACCTTTTGGCACTAAGCAATTGTTGGTATCTCTACCATTCCACTCATTAACATGATAGCATAAAAAGCAAAGATTTTAGAGTAAAATTTTGCACACTAAAGTATACATTTACCTTAATGACTCAACAAATTAACTATTTAAAAAGCACCCTTTTTGACAAAATAAGGAGTTCCTATTCCCTTCACAAGTTTCTCAAGTTTATTCAAGACACTTTTACTTATGAACCCCATTAAAAGTACCTTCAAATTCTTCCAAACACAATATTAAAAAAAAAATATTTTAAAAAAAAGGTGGGGAAAAAGTACCAAATAATAGATCAAAAGGGCCAAAGTTTTTCCCCTTCACAAATTAACGATCTTGAAATTAGTCACTATCAATTTCTACATTGATTTATTTATGATGATAAGCCCCCATTCACAATTGGCCACTAGACATTGTCCAATTCAATCTCAACGATTACTTTTGGAATCTTGCTTAATAGCATTCCCTTTTTTATGTGGCACACGATGCCTACTAGAGAGCTCAAAAAAAAAAAAAAGGATTTCTATGTCATTAATTATGAGGGGTAAATTTGGGAGTTCGGGACAAAACTCAAGAAGTTGCCACATGATAAAATAAAATTATGTCCAACAAATGGGAAATAGAC